ATTCCGAATGCCCCATTATATAAAATAACACCCATCTCAATCATCCTATAATTCCCCTTTTGCTAGTCATCTTGTCTAAACCATTGATCTCCAAGCCCAAATCACCATCGATATCCTAATCTAGTATGCACAAGGGCTAGCCTAAACTTGGTCCCTACAATGGTTAGACTCAACTACAAAAGATTGTTCCTGTTAACCTCTTTTTCATAATTTCTTTATTAACCCAAGAATTTCAACCATCACCAATAACATATGAATATGTCAACATTAATCAAATTATAATGATAATAACACGTAAACACCTAATATCAAGAATATCAAATAATAATATCATGCATAATATAGAGTTCACAAAATTTATTTAAATCAATCTCTGTAAAGGCTTCCCAAGAAGCCCCATACCTTGATTCCAAAGCTAGCTCCAAGTTAATAACACACAAGCAAAGCTTTCTATCTCCTCCAAGAATTTCGTCACCACTCTCTCTCTTCTTTCTCTTTTACTTTCTCTATTTCTTTCGCTTTCTTTCTTCTTCTTCTTCTTCAAAATTCTTCCTCTCCCTCTCTTTCTTTTTACTAGTAAAGTGAACGAAAAACTCATATGAAAAATTCTTCTCAAACTTCAACTTTATAGGTGAAAAAGTCATGATTAAAACCTATTACTAGATTTTCCACCTCGTCTTTATAGCTGGGATTACTCAGCACTTTAGTCATCCATATAGATTGCTTATAGAGCAATCTAAATTCATCACCAACAACCACCTCCTCCAATAGACTCTCCACGATAGTTTTTGAAAGAAACAGAATAAGAGAGAATGAAGAAGACAAGAGGAAGAATGAAATAATTGGCTGCATGATTTTGAGAAAGCTGCTGTATCTCATCTTACATACAAGACAATATTAGGCTCATTGTATTGGGCTAAAAAGAAAATAAATGGGTTTGCTAAAACCCAAAAACTTGGGCTAAAATAAAGAACCAAAATATTTATTTGTGTATTTATTTAACATCTAAATTTCTATTTTTTTTATTATAAAAAAAAAAAAAAAAAAAAAAAAAAAAAAACTGTCTTCACAACTGTCTTTATCACTCTAATTCTTTTTACCCGCCAAAGGGTTAATTAAGGAGGGTAATGAAAAATAGGCAGGGGGCATAGGACCCTTCAACAGCCATGATTGAGACCCTAAAACAAAAAGTGGTTTTAAGTGGATTGGTTCCAATTTATAGTTTATCACAAATAGAGGCCCATTCTAATATGACATTTTATTAAAAACACCTTTCAAGTTCAATACTTTTAAAAAACATCATCCTGTATTTTTAAATGAAAAAATTATAACACACTAAGGATCAATTAGAAAATGACAGGTGATTAGTTGAGGGGGTTATTTCTCCAAATAGACTCTATAAGGGTTTTTGTATAAAATGTCATGCTGAAATTATCCTATTTGTGAAAAGTCCTCTAGTTTAATTCGTAGACCTTTGGATTAAGAAGAGTTTTGAGCCCAGTAAAGCTCTAAGCTCACTCAACAAAACCTTTTCAAACAATTTATACCTCTAAAAACGCACACACCCAAAGCTCTAAGCTCTAAGCTCACTTATGCACTGGTCATGACTACCGACCAAACAGGGAAGGACCTTTCCCTTTGGAGGTAGGAAAATCATGATCGGGATAGCGAACCCCATATTATTCATGTATTAACTGAAAGCCACAAAGTCTGTATAATTTTCCAATTATACCCATATTAAATCAAATAAAAAAAGAGTGCATTTAATGATATATTGTAATTCTAAATTGTTACCGGTGACAAAATGGTCATGAAAAATGTGCATTGAATGTTGACTCATTTTCCCGAACTTTTCCATGAGGAGGGAAAACAAAACCCAAGTTGGGAGGAGGGCTTCACTTTCCCCCTTACTTTCCCGTGTGCCAGACAATCATTTCTCATGTATGGACTTACCAAACATGGAAAAGCAATTGATTTCCCATCCCCAAGACTCATTTCCCATGAACCAGACGGGGCTTAAGAAGTACCACCATCAAGAGAAAACAAGAAATTTCAGTATTTGTATAGAAACTAACGAATATTTAAGAATTTTCAGTTGAAGACTATCGAATCGACACATAATTTTTTAGTGAGGGTACCAAAATAATTTATTATGAAGTTTTGTTTCAAGATTTAATGGGTTTTAGCCATTATCTTTGTCAGGATTTGGTGACAGTCTGTTGACGTCCATCAACATATTCGGTTGTGGCAGTAACAGACAAATTTGTGAGCTAATTAGTATGAAAATGGTAAAAATTGGTGGAAAATGAAAAATTATCACACCATGTCTCATTTGGAGGCTCAAAATAGAAGATTTGATGTTTCACTTGTAAAAACAAAACTTTATTTTCATTAACTTGTGTAATATTTTTTATGCCATTAATGGTTATTGTTCACTTTGCTAAACAATGTAGGGTAGGAGGGATAGTAGGTTTTTGAGAGCTTGAAGAAGATGATGCTTGGGTTGTAGGTTATCTAAAGTGAGATTTGAAGGGTGCAATCAGAAATAAATTTTAACTTAAAAAATTCACAAGGGGACCTTGATTGGTTCGAACCCGAGTATTGTGCGCCTACAATCTCTACGCCAATAAAGAATACCATAAATATCTCTAATTACGGTCATGTACAATTTAGCAGCTCCAATGAAATAAAAATACGCGTCACTTTTTAAATTTTACAGTTTAGCTAGTGCGACTAGTTAGGGTCCCATCATTATCATCATGCTCAGATATGATAATGATAAGAGCCATGACCCTGGAACATGTAAGAAGAGGGACAACGGTGGAGGATGAGAAGGACTTGGGGAAACATTGATGGTAAATTTCAGTTTACTACTCGGAATTTTACCCAACATTAATGGACTCACTCATGTGGTGACACATGAACCAACATATTAATTAATAATTAATTAATTAAAAGTAGAAAAAATAAAATAAAATAAAGTCCGTCCCTCGTTTTCTCTCTTCCACCCTATCTTTTCGATAGTCGCCAAGCCCACCCCACCCTCCACCTCTATCCCTTCTTCCCCAACCCTCGGAACACACACACACACACACACACACACAAAACCTGGACAACCACCAACCCACCGAACCCATTCCAGTTATGACCTAGACGATGCAAGTAATTGCTTATCATATCATGAGAAGAAAAAAAATTCAAGAAATGATCACAATTCCTCACATGGGGAATAACTTGTGTTTTGACTATGCTTTTGTAATGGTTAAGTCGTTGCTAATATTATTCAATTTCATTCCAATGTGGCCATAAGTTTTAAATTTTTCTCACCAAAAAAATACCCAAAAAAAAAATATATATAAAGGAGACTTCCAAAGATGTATGCAGAAAATAAGAAGATATATGATGAAAAACATAGTAAAGTTGTACCATATAAAAGTTGGAAGTCATTTGTTCAAATGGTTGTGTGAGAGAGCATATGTTAATAAATTAGAGTGCAAACACCTAAATAAAGATAATACTCGACTCTTTACCATTAATCAATCCGAATGACGACCCCAAAATAAGGAAAATACTTTAATAAGGAAAATTTTCACCCAAATAACTATTAAGAAACAAAGTCAGGGCAATCTCGTTAATAAAGTCATAGAGCAAGGTCATTTCTATTCAGACATGCGATGTAATGTAGTGGACAATGATGATGAGATGCTATGATGATACATGCATATATAAATGTTTACATGTACATCCATCGCATAACATAATAGGAGAGGCGAGAGTGGTAGAATAGCATTTGACTTGGTTTCAGAGAGAGAGAAAGAGAGAAGAAGAAAGAAGAAAGAGAAAAAGGTAAAGAATGAAGAAAATTCAATCGAATCGAATACAATTTTGACGTCCGCAAGGACACACTCTCGCTTCTCTCTCTACAATCCCTTTCTCTCTCTACAACTCTCTATTCTCTCTCTAAGCTAACCACCGAGGGACAGGACTTGTGCTCAGAGAGAACACAGACTGTGAGCAAACCCTAAAAAAGGGAACAAAAGCTGAAGTGAATTCAAATAGAATTGAAGCCGAAGGAAAATAAAACACAACTCAGTGAATAATCTAATACTGGGTTTTATGTATTAGAATCATTGTGGGTTTTTGGGAAGTCTCTCTCTTTCTCCATCACTGTTCAAAGCTCTACTGCTGGTGAGTACTGTCTACTCTTTCTTTTTTGTTTGTTTTTGGTTTCTTCATTTTGTATTTTCATTCAGTTGAAGTTCTCGATCGTTGATTTGGGGACTTTGGGTCCGATCGAGGTTGTACTTTTTTGGCCTTTTTTGCAGCTGTTGCTGGTTTAGGTTTACAAAGTTTGGATATTTAAGATTGGTTTTGGGTTTCGGGTGTGGAATTTGGGTTTTACTTGTGTTGTAGAGCCTAATCTTTATTGGCACTGGTTCAATTTTTTTTAATTTTTGTGGGTTTGTGTTGAATTGGTGAGTTTTGGTGAATTGGTTTATTTCAGGTTATTGATTGGAGGTGGTTTTGGTTGATAAAGTGAGAAATTTTGAGATTTCTTCTGTGTTTGGTGGAGAGAGTTTGATTTGTTTTGATTTAGTTCTTTCGTTCAAGGCTGAGGTTATGGTGGATCTGAAAGTTTATGTAATAAACAGAGATTCATGCGGAAGCTGGTTGGGGACTGCTCTCCTCTTGAAGCTACTGAGATTGTAGAATGTTCAGAATTAGAGCCTGTCCCTTGGTATTGGGTTTCTATGGTATTTGGCTTGTGTTTGGCAAAACTCAACACGATGTGCCCAGGCACAATGCTTACCCTTTTCTATTGGTACACAATAGAGATTCTGAAACCTGTGGCCTTCGACGTAGGGGTACAATGCTATCTGAATTGAGCTCCATGCCTGGGATTTTGCGTCTTGTTATGTAATCTAGGCTTGTTGAATTCAAGTTGTTATAGATAGTTGTAATACTTTCACTTAGTATTTGTAGATTGTGATTTTGAAATTATGGTACCTTCGGGGCCGCCCACTCCAATCGGTGGTGCCCAGTCTGTTTCACCTTCACTCTTGCGTACGAATTCTGGAATGCTGGGAGGTCAAGGTGGTTCACTACCTTCCCAGTCAGGTTTTCCCCCGCTTGTCTCACCACGTAATCAATATGGTAACATGAATATGCTTGGCAATGTAGCCAACGTGCCTTCTCTCCTTAATCAGTCTTATGGAAATGGGATTCCAAATTCGGGGCTTTCTGGTCCTGGTAGCAGCCAACGTGGAGGTATGGATACCGGTGCTGAATCAGATCCACTTTCTAATGTTGGCAATGGAATGGGTTTTAGTGCGCCTTCTTCGTCATATGTTGCATCAAACATGGCTAATCCTGGTACATCTGGTCAAGGTCAGGGCCAACAATTTTCAAACCCTTCTGGTAACCAACTATTGACAGATCAACAGCAGCAGCAACTTGAAACACATAATTTCCAGCATGGTCAGCAGCCAATGCAACAGTTCTCTGCCCCTCACAACACACAGCAGCAGCAACATCAATTTCAGGCTATTCGAGGAGGCTTAGCTGGTGTTGGACCAGTCAAGTTGGAGCCCCAATTGACAAATGATCAACATGGACAGCAGCAGCAGCAGCAGCAGTTGCAGTCTTTGAGGAGTCTTGGTCCAGTGAAATTGGAACCCCAACAACTTCAGACCATGAGAAGCTTGCCACCTGTAAAATTGGAACCGCAGAATTCTGATCAGTCATTGTTTTTGCATCAACAGCAGCAACAACAGCAACAGCAGCAGCAACAGCAGCAACAACAACAGTTCCTCCACATGTCAAGGCCGTCTTCTCAGGCTGCTGCTGCACAGATTAACATTTTGCATCAACAGAGATTGTTACAGCTACAACAACAACACCAGCAACAGCAACTCTTGAAAGCAATGCCTCCGCAACGCCCCCAATTACAGCAACAGTTTCCACAGCAGAATCTGCCTATGAGGTCTCCTGCAAAACCAGTATATGAGCCTGGAATGTGTGCTCGGCGTTTGACACATTATATGTATCAGCAACAACATAGGCCTGAAGTAAGATACCCCCATCCCATATATTTCGTTAGTCTGTTGGGTGTGACTGTTATGGTTACTGATGATGCCTACTTTTCATATAGGACAATAATATTGAGTTTTGGAGAAAATTTGTTGCTGAGTATTTTGTACCTCATGCCAAGAAGAAGTGGTGTGTTTCTATGTATGGAACTGGTCGGCAAACAACTGGCGTTTTTCCTCAGGTCTGTTGCTAGGATACAGTAATCTGGTGAACCCCATCTATGTTGGCTTCTTAACTAGTAAAATGAGGTTAATTGCAAAAGAATCTTTATGCATGCATACATGCATTTTAGCAACTGCATCTCATTTTCAACTCACTTTTATTTCAGGACACTATTTTCAGTGTGATAGTAGCTATTTAATTATCCTATAGACATTTTGGTTTGTTGTAACACAAATCGTTGCTGAGCTATTTAACACTCATGAGCTTTCTCTACCAAATTTTGCAGGATGTGTGGCATTGTGAGATATGCAATCGCAAGCCTGGACGTGGCTTTGGTATGTTATGCAATTTATCTTTTTGTGCCTCTTCTTGTGGTCTGCTGTTAACCAGTGCTTGTTTGAATGACAACTGGTTCTAAATATCTCTTTCATGCTATCAGTTCAACGCCATATCTTAGAGTCTTTGGCTAGATATCAGTGTTAGTTTTAATGCTATATCTAGGTGTTTTGTTCATGGGCTGTTCTCTTTAGAACTAGTATCTGAGTTATTCTTGCCATACTTTCAGAAGCGACTGTTGAGGTGCTTCCCAGGCTTTTTAAAATCAAGTATGAAAGTGGTACTTTGGAGGAGCTTCTTTATGTTGATATGCCACGCGAGTATCATAATTCATCTGGTCAGATTGTACTGGACTATGCTAAAGCAATACAAGAAAGTGTTTTTGAGCAACTTCGTGTTGTTCGGGATGGTCAACTTCGGATTGTATTCTCTCCAGATCTAAAGGTAGGACATAAAAATTGTTTTCATATTACATTTTATGTTCTGCCTTCCTCGGGTGTTGATCAACTTTCTCTTCGTTTGTTCTTTTGGCAGATATGCTCTTGGGAATTTTGTGCAAGGCGCCATGAAGAGCTTATCCCTCGAAGATTACTGATACCTCAGGTTACTACCAAATGTCTACTTGTGATGGGCAGTTTTCTCCATCTGTATTACCCTTATGCTGTGTTTTCAAAACTAGGGATTTTCTGTTCTCTTCATGTGACAAATAGAAAACGTCCAAATTCATATATTTGAAGCTATTTTTTGTGTTTTAGGATATGTAAATTTTTTGGATGAAATAAGACTTAGTGTAACTGAGAAGATAAATGCTTATGCTGACTTTGGAGATGAAAAATTTGTTGATCCTAGCAAATAGACCTATCGGTTTAAATTCAAATCTGAGCCTAATTAGATTAAAAATTAAGTGTAGATATTTAGCTATGTTATATCAATAACCAGTGATTTTAGTAAAGGATTTATAAATTTGTGAGATTAAGGTCGGAGTAGGGTCCTACATTATGTTTATGTGTTTTGGATATGAATCTGGATACCAAACTAGCACAGTCATTGACATCCCCATCTGGTGTGTATGAGAGTAATTTGAGTACATTTACCTTTCATATAGTATTGTGCATTTATAATATTTACTTGCTCTATGCAGGTTAGTCAGCTTGGTGCTGCAGCTCAGAAATACCAGGCTGCTACTCAAAATGCATCATCCAATTTATCTCTTCCAGAGATACAAAATAATTGTAATATGTAGGTTCTTTATCTCTCTGTCTCATTCTTGTGCATATTTGAGCTTCCTTTTTTTTTTTTTGCCTGAAAATATTTGAGCTTACTAACAGCGCTTTTTGATAGAAATTTGGCTGTCTATTTTTAAGCCTTGTTTGTAATGAGGGAATTTTGGATTGCCCTTATGCCATCTATAACTCTGGATCTCTTGTTTTTATCAGTTCATGTGCTGTACCCCTTAGGCCTACAAAAAGTATAGTCTCACATTTCTAGTAAAGACATCAGCAGTCATTAATTATTTTGTGAACAGGAAATTACATAATCAAGTTATTATTTGGCTGTATAGTTATGTAACTTTTTCTTTTCTTCTTAATTTTGCTTAGGGCCTATTAGGAATGTTGCATTTTGCTCCATCTTATTTTTTCGTTAATGGCTCAAACTTGTCCGTCCTTAATTACTTATTTCAGGGCTTCTCCAAAAAAGAAAAAAAAAGAAAAAAAGTCTGAGGCTAAAGAATATTTGATTTTGCAATTACATGGTGGCTTCATGATAAAGATCTTAATGACATAGTGAATCTAAGTGTTGAAATCTCCTGCCTCCGTTTCAACCTTTGTTCTATGTAGTGGGGCTTAGAGTTTTCAGTTAAACTACTGTTATGTCTACCAAATATATGGGTGAAATGATTTTGAAGGCCTATTTATTTGTATTATTTGATGTATATGCAAAATTGGTGATTGATTGGTTTTCAGTTTGATTAATTCCTCCTGTGCAATTTTGGTTTAGGTTTGTATCATCAGCTCGGCAGTTAGCGAAAACCTTGGAAGTGCCATTAGTAAATGATTTAGGTTATACAAAGAGATATGTAAGGTGTCTTCAGGTAATTTCTTATTTCCTTGCATAGGCACCATGCATTATGATGGTCCTTGTGTACTAGGAGCCTTACGGTGATCGGATATATGTTTTCATCACTGCAAAGTTTGTGTAACATCTTTTGGTTTGAGATACACTATTGTATTTTGCATATTGTGCTGCAGCATTTGTTCTTGGTCCGGTGTTTATCTTCTCTGCATGGGGATCATTTTTCTGATATAGATTTTATGTACATATGTGAACTTGTCAAAAATATTATTTTGCTCCTATGTTACATGTATCCCCCTTCTATAACACCTGAAATAAAGTCCTCCATTATTTGCATGGACGCTTGGATGGAAATATTTTTGACTTAATACCATCATTTTTTTTCTCCTTTACCCTTTTTTTTTCTTTTCTACATATGTCATGTTGGGGCTTGTGTGTTTGTATACATGGTTCACTGTCTCAAAATTTGCAATAGCAAAGTGAGAGATTTTTTTATATGTCCTACCGTACCAAATTGATTACATGTTTCTACATGTCTGACAATTATTCAAAATATTTCTGAATGATTTCATTCCAATCACCCTACTAATGGAAATGTTCTTTGGTGAGTTGTCTGATGGGTTGGCTGGGAAGTGTAAGATGAGAATGAATTGTGTTTTTGTTCTGTTTTTTACAGTCATCTTTGGCTGGTTAATGAGGCATTAGTTCTATCCACTGTTTGTTATAAATTAAATTATCAACACACAGTATGTTAAATGTTTAAGTTTATTGTGTAACATCGGGTTTAACATCTGATTGTTGAAGTTTGATTGTTGAAGTTGGAGTCCTTATGCCAGAAATGCCTTTGTATTTGTTAAAAGAAACTTATGACCAATATATTCTCTTCTTATTCCTTATGAAGTGTAATATATGATATTTCAAACAAATTATGGTCCTATGTTAGTGAACCATGTAACCTAGTTTGCTTGCAGCCTGATTGACCATTGTCATTGTTAATATTTCTTTTTGGGGTGCAATGCAGATTTCAGAAGTGGTTAATAGTATGAAAGACTTGATTGATTACAGCCGAGAGACAGGGACTGGGCCTATGGGTAAGCCTGATTTTTCTATGTTAACTAAATAATTAATTATAATTCAAATATGTGTTCCCCTTTCTTTTATTCAATTGTTACTTTACAGAGACAATCTTTATACTACATAAAAAATTGTTCCCCTTTATTTTCCACATAATAAGATGTAATGAGTTAAAAATTTAGAACTAAAAAAAATGTAAATTTCGTAGGAATAACAAATGAAGCCTGTAATTTTCTATGGATTAGATTCGGTATGTAGCTTTGCAGTAAAGCTTCTGCTTTCATATTTGCATTTTATTACTATTGTTGAGGAGATCAAAGGAAATTGTAAGAACAACACTGAGTGGAAGAAGAGTATGTGAACTAATGACCTGGTGCCTAGAAGTGATAAATTGGGAGAAACTTGCTTATGTATGCTTGTGTGGTGGGTTTTCAGATTGCAAGTTAGGTTTCAAGTCTTGGGTTTGTAGAAAGAGGGGTTTAGGATATGTAAATTGATTTGGAGGTGAAAAGATCGTTGAATATTGATGGTGAATTATGTGGAAATCTGAGAAGGATGCTTGCTGGAAATTGAACTAAAGAGCTAATTTTAAGAGCTGCCTTAATCCTAGACTACTCGTAACTTGAACTTCAAAACCATAAAGGATCTTGTTTTCAACTTCAATTGACATTGCCGTTTGGCCCCACAATAGTTAGAGAACAAAAACAAGAAGAATGATATTTATCTTCATGGGAGTGAATGAGGCTGCTGCTGGATTACCAAGCTTCCATAACATGTAATTTTGCCTGTCTTGTAGTTAGAAAATCAAGTCCCTGTGCTATTTTTCACAGTTACTTGTGAAGACATGCACAAATTCTCCGAATGCCATATGGTTGCACGATATCATGGCAATTTAAAGCATTATATTGTGGGCGCCTATTTCTATGCCCCTCATATCGTACAAATTATTCTTGAGGCTGAATGCTTGCAATTAATTCATTGTATGTTAGTAGCTCCACTATAATATAGGATTGTTTGATTGCCACATGATAGTTCATTGCTAATGTTTTCTTTCAGAGAGCTTGGCCAAGTTTCCTCGAAGGACGAGTGCTTCATCTGGGTTTCACAGTCAAGCACAACAGTCCGAGGAGCAAATGCAGCAGCAGCAACAGCAACCGATGGGCCAGAATCCGAACGGCGATCCAAGCTCTGTCCAGGCCACAACTATGCAACTTGCTGCCAGTAATGGTATGGCTAGTGTAAATAATGTTCTGAACGCAGCATCCACATCTACCTCTGCAAGCACCATTGTTGGGCTCCTCCATCAAAATTCCATGAATTCCAGACAGCAAAGTTCAATGAATAATGCAAACAGTCCCTATGGAGGAAATTCTGTTCAGATTCCATCCCCTGGTTCTTCTAGTACAATCCCACAGACGCAACCAAACCCCTCTCCATTCCAGTCACCAACACCCTCGTCAAACAATCCCTCTCAAACATCTCATGGTGCCTTGACAGCTGCCAATCACATGAGTGCAACAAATTCACCAGCAAATATATCCATGCAACAGCCAACCATTTCCGGTGAGGCTGATCCAAGCGATTCCCAGAGCTCTGTCCAGAAAATAATACACGAAATGATGATGTCCAACCAGCTGAATGGTGCAGGCAGTATGGTTGGCGTGGGTTCTCTGGGAAACGATGTGAAAAACGTTAATGGGATTTTGTCAACAAGCAACAACACAGGAATGAATGGCGGCAACTGTCTTTCAGGGAATGGCATGACGAACAGTAGTAACTCGGGTATTGGGGGTGCTGGATTTGGGAGTATGGGTGGACTTGGTCAGCCTTCCATGGTTAATGGAATAAGAAGTGCAATGGGAAATAATTCTGTTATGAATGGAAGGGTGGGAATGGCATCAATGGCTCGAGAACAAAGTATGCATCATCAACAACAGGATATGGGGAACCAGCTACTTAGTGGGCTTGGAGCGGTTAACGGCTTTAACAATCTTCAATTTGATTGGAAACATTCCCCTTGAAAGCCTCTTTGATCATGTTGATGCTCGTTTCACCGGTTCTTGATTTACCTGCTTGTGCAGCACGAGAAATGGCAGAGTTGCCTCTGGCCCTGTGGAAGATGGCAGTGCATGGATGAAATGAAATAGTTGACAGGGCTGTCGCTCCCACTTTGTACTAATCTGTTATTTATATATAAAAAGGAAATTTGGTGGCTGGTTGTGTGGCTGATGGGGCTCATTTTCTTGTGGTTTTAAATGTACTTCAATTTTATTTTTTTTAATTTTTAAAAATCTCGTCATAATGGTATACTACATATCTTTTTTCCTAGTAGTAACTTTTTTCCTTTGGGTAGAGGGGTTCAAGAGTGCAAATGAGATCTTCTTGGTTGGATCTGTTCTTCCAATCATAGAATTGTATTTCTCACCTATTCCTTGGGCGTGTATTTGTTATTTTCAATTGCAATAGGCGTTTCCGGTATACATGATAGAAACCAGTAGTTATGAGAAAGTGAAATTTAGTCTTTTTCTTTGATTACATGGAAGTTAGTTGGTTGACCTTACTGGTGGTTGTATTTGTAATTTTAAGTTGACAAGGCACCTAAACCTATTGGGTGTTGGTGTAATCAAGTCCTTTTTCATCAAATGTCTAACTTTGTACCTAATTCTTCAAATACTTGCTGTCTTCTTCCGCTCAAATTCTAAGCAGAATATGAAGTTGTAAGAGCATTTAAAATCATGCTCCCAATTTTTTAAGTTGAAATTTAATAAAAACGTTAAAAGGCTATTTAAGGAGCTTTTATAAAATTTCAACTCAAACCATTGAATAAAATGTAGACTGAATGGTTTGCATAAAATAGATGTTTAAAATATTATTAAAATTAAGCATAATTAATTATAGGGAGTTACTAGGAGTCGTTTCTTTTTCCTCAGATTTAGGATTGAGTTTGGGAAGATGGTGGGGGTTTTATTAGAAATTGTTAAAATTTGAATTAGAAGTTGGGGTGAGCAAAGTGAAGTGGGGGTTTAAATAAAGAAACTCTTCAGAATTTCCTAGACGACTCCATGTATTTCGACAGTTGGCCCCAATTTTCAATGTGTAGAAATATATACTTGTTTTAGGGGGTAAATGAAAAGTTGAGTATAATAAAAGTTAAAGATTACGGGAAGTAAACAACAATAAGGAATTATATGAATTCAAAACGAGGAGTTAATTGAAGATTAACAATGAATAGCTTCATGAGCACAAGCATGGTGGCTCACACTGAAAGTGTGTATACATCATTTCCCTCTTTAAAGATCTACATATTTTTCTATGGTGGCAGACAGGGTGGACTTGGGCACTGCTCCAATAACGCTCTCCTTCTTTTCTCCATTCTTGAAGAAAAGCACAGTTGGGATGCTCCTTATGCCATATTGAGTGGCAATGTTAGGGCTGTCATCAGTGTTGAGCTTGAAACAAGCTATCTTCCCACCATACTCTTTCGCCAGTTCATCGATCACTGGGGCAATCATCCGGCATGGTCCACACCACGGTGCCCAAAATTCTACCAGAACTGGGTTCTCACTTGCAATCACCAGGTTATTCCAACTTGAATCATTCACCACTTGAACTGCAGAGTTTGCACAAGCCAATGAACTCACTAAGTTGATATATTTATGTGATGTGGTTCTTATTCAGAACCAAACCAACTAATCTGAAGATGGAACAGGTAACAAATTATAGTGCAAAAGTAACTTATAAGTTGCACAAGTAGTCAAATTTGGGTAATTAAATAAAAATTCTTGCATACACTCTACTGTACATATATTTGAATGAAAATAACTGGTCATGTGACCAACACGACATAGGTATTATATACGAAAGAACAAATTTTGCGTAGCGAAAAATTGCCATCAATTAAAAGAAAGCAAACGAAGATATTGCATAATAAACTCAATTGTCAATTCTGTAAGTGTTTAATAACTGCAGCTGCTTTCAAGACCTTCTTGAGTTGTTCATTGCACTAATATCTGTTGTTATTTCTTCTTCTAGTTGTCATACATCTACATATAGAAGTTACAAGATTCCTAACGAAATCAAGGGAGAGTGACATTCAACATAAATAATTAAGAACTAATCAGAAACAAACAACAATAATAGCAGAGACTGTGCAGCTAACCTTCATTCACAGCTTCACGAGCCTTGCAAATAAAGCGGGATCTGTGGGATTTGTTGGAAGGAGCAAAAGATGAAGATGAAGAGAATTTCAAAACAGATTTCTTCAATCCATTGCAGGTTGGCACAATAAGCTTTTCCCTGGAAGAAAATGGCTGATAGCATTGTGCAGCACCAACTCTTGTAGTGCACACTGTGCTTAGTTGCAAACAGTTTTCCAAAGCCATTACTCTCTCTCTCTCTCTCTTGTTTCCTGGCTAAGTATATTTTTTTACAGTGAATTGGGTGTTGAACAGAAAATGTGGCTTTTGTTTTCTGATGGGCAAGTTTCTGCAACAATTTGTACAAATTTCTTCTTTGAATTTCCTATTTTGTCTAGGCTGCATATATTTTTGAATATTTTTCCGAGTGTGGATATTATGCCAAGATTGTAAGGTGCTAAGTGTGCTCAGGTGTATGTGGATAATATTTCTGTACTGAACTGTCAATATGCCCCACTTGATGTCCTCCAAAAAACTTGCCCAACTCTCAAAATTCAACGTAAGAAAGGATCAAAATTGAGGACCAAAAAGTAAAATTCTTAGTTTTCATTTGATCCTTACTGGTGGGTGAACCATATACGGGCCTCTCGTTCACTTGGCAGTTCTTTTTCTGTAAAAAATAAATAAATAAAAAATCCGGTCATTATCTATCAGGCAGCTTTAGCAGGATTGGCCCATTTAACCAGTGAACAAAATTATGGCCGTTAAATGATGACCAATAATGGGGTTCACCAAAAATATCTCCTACAATTTTCACAGTAGTAGTACAGTACAGGCTTCAACTTCCATGTTTTCAATACGGTCGAACCCTTGGGGCAGAAAAAAGAAAAAAGAAAAACAAACGAAACCTGATGCCCTTTATTTCCACAGTCGCATAACGAGTAAAACTTATGAACACCTCTCTCTCTCTCTCTGATTTAATTACATAAAACCATTCAAACTTTTTTCATGAGGCAAATGGGAAGGCAACATGCTACCTAGGTTGTTATAGTACAATTTTGCCTATTTCATTTGCATACTCCCTTGGAGACGCATCCTTTTTAGATCAAAAACTTTTATCTTCTAAGAATTAAAAGAATAAAAGTAAAAAAAATCATTCAGAGATTGGAATAAGAGTACAAGAAACAAAGATTTTTATTTTTATTTTTTATTGTTAATGTGACGGGGTGCAAGAAATGTGTTAATTGGGTTTGGAATTAAAAGCAAAACAAACAGATTAAAAAGGAGAAAAGAAAAGTAAAACAAAAAGACTACAAAGGAGAAAAAGAAACGGGCATGGCTTCTTGGTCTATTCAAGTCTGCAGATTGTGTTTTATACCAGTTTGTCAAATCTTATTCTTCTCTTGTTGATGTCTCGCTGGTCATATTGTGTTCTTCATTGGCTGTGCATACTTGTCATGATAAATTATTATGTAACTCAGTAAAAATTTTGTTTTCGCAAAATACAATTGTGATGGATAACTTCATGTTCAAGCAAAAAAAAAAACAGATTGTGATGGATACCAGTTCGTCAAATCTCATTCTTCTCTTCTTGGTGTCTCGCTGGTGAGTGTTCTTCATTGGCTGTGCGTACTTGTCATGATAAATGCTTATGTAACTCAGTAAAAAATCCGATTTCGCCCGAAAATGTATAACTTCATGTGTTTTAAAAATAAAAAAGACCGATTGTGATGGATACCAGTTTGTCAAATCTTATTCTTCTCTTGTTGGTGTCTCGCTGGTAATATTGTGTTCTTCATTGGCTGTGCATACTTGTCATGATAAATGATTACGTAACTTGGTAAAAATTTCGTTTTCTCCCAAAAATACAATTGTGATGAATAACTTCATGTGCAAGCTAAAAAAAAGAAGAAAAAAAAATGAAAACTGTGAACTCTCAAGTTGATACAGTGGCGGCAGTCTCCAGCTGAGACTGGTTCTTGGTTAATGCTTCCCAGTCAACTTTTCTCAATACTCTGAACCTTTCATCCAATGTCACAAACTCAGCTTGAGGAGCAATAATACCAGATTTTCCACCATTATGCAGTAAAAGCACGCTAGCCCCTATATCCGGGCCATGAAGCTTTCCTGTTAACAGCACTCGGAGAGGCATGAACAGTGATTTCCCCTGCCATTAAGATTTGGAATGCACAAAATTTTCATTTTATTAGCCAGAAATGGAGAGAAGTTCATGAAAAGGTTGAAAAATAAATGAACAATGAAAGAGAGAGAAGCCACCTTGCGCTTCAGTGATTTGCCAAAGCTCTTCACCCATTTCTGCCAACCAGCATGGCCTTCTTCGAGTGCAGAAAGTAGTTCACCACTGTCATAAGCAGCTATGAAGCTGGCTGCAAACTCAGAAAGTTTGTCCTCTAAGACTGGTCTGGCTTCAAGACTGCAGCCATGACAAACAAATTCATAGTTATCATACACACATAGTAGTTCTGTTAACATCAATAGCCAACAAAGCATCCCCTTCTTCAAACATAGCTTACTCGTTACAAGACAAATATGGTGATTTGAAGAACAGAAGGCCATATGCATTTGAAGTGGTAAACCTAAACGCAACATCAACTTAGGAATATTCCACCCTTCCATTGAAATAAATCCATATTTTTGTATATCTGTGTGAGAGCACTGTCTTATGTTGGATATAATGTCTTAGCCCACATTCATGTTTCAACATGCTAGCGTACCCTTAGGATACTCAGCTGTTGCTTACATATTATTGTTTCAAACGGAGGGCTAAATGCAAGTTCATCCAACTCAATACATAATCCCCATAACTTATGATAATGAACCACAACAACATTCCAGAAGGAAATAAATGGCCATCCGAAAAGTCAGCAAAAGCATATCAAAGTTGTGAAGTGGTTGAGCAGTTTTTGATATTTGATTAGAGACAATTGTTATCAATCTCTCTGAAATTCTTATGAACCTTTCAGAGTGCCAATTCAATGATATATTTTCCAACAACAACAAAAATAGAAAGAAAAAAAAGCCAAATAACCAGAGTAAGTGCGACAAAAAATCAAGTTCACCTGGATAAAGTTTCATGTAAAGGGTACGATAACAAGTTTGAGAGTGCTTTATCTGAATCTGGTGTCAAATCAATCCCATCCTTGAGCAACTGAACTGCGTCCTACAAAATTACATAGTAGACATTCTTCACTTTTCATGATTATAAAATATAAAATATAAAAAACATTGAGGTTGTCAAAAAGCAGAAAACACTTCAATTTAAGGGGCACTTTAACTTGTATTGAAATAATCGGGAAGTGAAGAAGCTCCCCTGGATACAGTAGACCTATTATAAAAAATCATAGACCACAAATAGTCTTCTTCTTAACAACAGTATCATCAACAGCAATGCACAGCATTAATGACCTTAGACACCGTTTCTCTAAATTTACAAACTAAGATAACCTGTAAAATGAAAATGCAGAGGAGATGAGTCTTACTTCAACAAATGAACCCTCTGACTCTGTAAGGATGCCAGTACTTTTCCATCGCTCACCAATAGCTTTGTCAACTCCTCTGATGGAAGTGCTCTCAAGTGTTGACCATTCATCCACCTTTAGTTTGTAAGTATACGTATGAGAATATAATTAGAAACAATACCTCAGTGATGCAATTAATTCAAGAATTCAAAAAGCAGCCTAAATTCTCATAGACATGATCCACAGTAAATCAGGAAAACCTATACCAACAAAACAACCATGCAACTGCCAAATGCTCACTAATCTGTTTCTCCAAGAGAAGGAAATGCTAGGTAGAAGAAATCTTAAACAATCGTTCTCTTCATATAGTAGATTTAAAGCTATAATTACCTTAGCTTGGTAGAGTCAAAAATGGCCCCACTTTTGTTGACACGACCAATTGAAAATTTCTCAACTGAATTATTAGTAAACAAAACACTTAGATATTTAAACAGCGCATGTAAGCTGAGCAGCCGGTTTCTGATTATAAAAGGGAGCACGAGGGTGATAAAGTGAGATTTCAAAGGAATTCACTAACCTAGGTGGTCCAGGGTGAAAAATTCATTTCAGTGCCATCACCCCAACCTAACAGTGCCAAGTAGTTCACCATTGCCTGGGGTAGATAGCCCATCTCCCTGTACTGTTAAGTTCTAGTAGTTAGATATCAAGAATATCTATTAATATTAACAAAGAAACTCTTGAATAAGGAAATCAGTAGGAGAAAGGTGGGGTTGGACCTCAAGGAAACCATGGAAGAAACCTCCTGTAGCCCAACATTCTTAGCAAGTAACGAAAACTATATTTAGATGACTACCTGGCCCACTGAAGTTGCGCCATGCCTCTTTGACAGCTTACTCCGGTCCGGTGCAAGAATTAGGAAACATGTGCAAAGTGGGAGGCATTGGGAATCCTAGAGCCTTTGTTGTTGGTTATGAGTAGTTAGATAAAAAAGCTTTCACTGTAGGTTCTATATTAGAAACCCCAAACAGAAAGAAACACCAGGACATGAGTTTAGAAAGTTACCTTATATATTAATGCTTGCCTTAGAGTATTTGGTAAATGCTCCTCTGCTCTGAATGCAAATGTTGTGTGAGTCACATGACATAATAAAGAGATGAACCAAAATCCAAGAAACAATAGTGGTGAAGTGGTGAAATAGATTGGCAAATAGCACTCTCATCCATGTTGAAGATGTTATTCTTATTACCTAATAACATGTGAGATAGCCATGGTAGCATCATCAACTGTCACGCAAAAATTGTACACTGGTTGACCATTGCTTCTCATAATTACAAAATCTCCAAGAGTGTCCAAGTTCCAACTGACCTTCATGACACTATACAAAGTAAAAGCCTATAAAACTTAATTAAAAATTTGATGGTTGTCGAAGTTAATTGATGAATTACTTTAAGTTAGTAAGCAACACACTTTACCATACTAGGAGTTCCTAGGCGCTCCCAACCCAATAACCAAAATATTAATTTAAAAAAAGAAAAAGAACCAACCTCGCCTCGAATAAGGTCATTGATTTTCAAACTTCCTTCCTTTGGCACACGAAACCGATATGTGTAAGGAGTTCCTCTTTGAAGCTCTTCTTGTACTTCTTGTCTGTTGCATTGGCCCACTTCCCTGTGTATACTGGAGGCAGTTGTTTTAGTTTCGCAATCTCCTTCATTTTCTCTAGTTCCTGGAGAGAATAAGGTTAAGATTGCAGATGTACAATAGCATTGCGCTTTAGTATGAACACAGATTGAACAAATAACAGGACTTACGATGCCTAAAAAACCCAAAAATATGAAGCAAATTTTAATCTAAATTTCTTACAGAATAAGCTAGAAAGGTATGAACAACAATCAACTAAACAAGGCATAAACATCAACAAAACAGAAGGGCAAGTCATCAAGTCATTCATACTCCTTTAGAATTTCCATTTGTAAATCTATTACTAGAATATTTTCATTTTCTAATCTTATTATTTGATAAGTGAAGACATGCTGAAGACTCAAATACAGAAGAGAATCACCTCACTAGAACAAAAGCAGCGATAGACATAACCAGACTCTAAAAGCTTCTCAGCGTATTGCTTATACAAAGAATTTCTTTCTGATTGCCGGTATGGACCATAATCTCCATCAACACCGGGTCCTGCAAAGTTCACCAAAAATGAAATGACCAAGTTGGAAACTTTACAAGATAGACCCAGTACACGTAGAGTAAAGGAGATTCAATATGCACTGAAGTTGAGAAATTTATCTCTCCTGCCACCTCTAATTGAGCCATTACGATCATGTCAGTATAAAAGTCATAATTCAAGTAATAGCCAAATGCACTCACATATTCGACACATCCTATGGAACAGGATTTTGGATTAAACCGTAGGCATTTTAGAGCTGGAAAAGAATTAATCAAGAAAAAAAGTACCTTCATCCCAATCAAGACCAAGCCAAGAGAGGTCATTTAACACAGCCTCCTCAGATTCTTTAGTAGACCTCTCCAAATCAGTGTCTTCAATTCTCAAAACAAATTTCCCTCCATTGGACCTGCCCCAGCACAGACACTAACACTCATACTCATACTCATACTCATACTCATACTCATCCAATAAAGAAAAAGCCGACGCAAACCATAAACCCAAACAAACAAAGACGTACCTGGCAAAGAGATAATTGAATAGCGCAGTTCTAGCTCCACCAACATGGAGATTTCCAGTGGGAGAAGGAGCAAAACGAACGCGTACTTGGTCTTGGGTCTCCTTTGTTGAAGACGCAGAGACTGAAAAAGACCTTCTTCTATGGAAGACTGAGACTTTCTTCGGTCTGTATGATCGGCACAAAATGGAGGAAAAGCATCTGGGAAAACTGTAATTTTCATTCTCATCCTAGGCATTGCAACCAAAGCTGCCATTGCTACTGTGGGTTTTGGGTACTGAGGTTGGAGTTTCAATGGCAATCTTCAGAGGATATCGAGTCAAAGGCTATGGAGGCAGTATCTGTTATTGGCAAATAATTGCAAAACAAACAAAGAGATTGGGGGTAGAATGGAGAGACCTTTGCACCATCTGATGCAGGAAGGAAGGGCTTTGTTCCTTTGCGGAGTTGTGCTGAAGAAGGGGCTAAGGTAGCTGAAAATTCTAATATAATACATCAAGTTTCTAGACCGTTAGATGAGATCAACGGTTTAAATTTATTTTAATACAAAAAGAACAAATATATCCCTAATTTTCTTCTTCTTCTTCTTCCCCGGCACATCAGAGCGCCTCTTCTTTTTTCATAAAAAAAAGGCGCCGTTTCTTCTTTCTCTCGCGTACTCTCTCTCTCTCTCTCTCTCTCGCTCTCCTGCTCCGTCTCTGCCTCTCTCTCTCCCTCTTCTCTGTCATTTTTTAGCAGAACCCTATTCTCTTTCTCTCACTCTTTGCCTCTGCAACTTGTATGGAGTTTTCAAATTTATTTATTTGTTTATAATATACTGGGTCCGTTGCGGTCATCCGCTCAGCAAAAATCGAAATCGAAAGTGTTTGATTAATATGCAGAACGACGAGGTCATATGGCAGGTTATCAGGCACAAACACTGCAGCTTCATGTCCAAGTATGCCATTTTCTTTCCCTAATGTTCATTTTGTCTGTAAATTTTATAATTTACCTGATTTTTTTTATTACTATTTTTGAGTGTTAATTGGTTTTTTTTTTCCTTCCTGTTTTTGTCAGAATTGAAACTGGGATATTCTGTAGAAACCCATATAACGTCACTGGGATTTGTAACCGAAGCTCGTGCCCTCTGGCTAATAGTCGCTATGCCACCATTCGCGACCATGATGGTATTGTTTCTCATTTTGCTTCGTGAATGGTTCTCTTTACTCTGCTATGAAGATGGCGAAGAATGACTGTATTTTAGGTCATTTCCTGCTTTAACAAAGTGGTTTGCTAAATATTTAGTTGACACTTGATCAGAGGTTGAGGGAATTTAGGTACTCTTTAGTAGAAATGAGGATAGAGGCCTGCATTTAAACTAAAGTCAATTATGTTAGCAGATTCTTCATAACCCTTTTAGCTCGGGGCCAATTTTTTAATCTATTATGAATAGGCACCCATATAACTTTCTCTTTGATCAACACAAAAGCCTCTTAGCTTCTTCCGTTCAAATACATAAACCTTCTGCCTTTCATCCATGGAGATGCCATCTTTGAACACGATATACTGTATGTCAAAAAGAAGCATCTAGAAAATGCTGCGCACAACTTTCCCTCTGCAAAACTGAGAGCACTTAATGTATGACACCGTATAACTACAATATAAGAGATCAAACAATCTCCAATCTCCTTTGAAACCTATTTGTTTTCTAACGTATATCTAAAAAGTTTATATAGTCTTGTTGATTTTCTAAGAGTGTAAGTTTACTTTAAATTTTTACTTATTCTGATACCATGAATTTGTTTCTATACTAGCAGCAATGCATATAATGTTTTCCTATGTTATATTTGTGTCCTGCAGGAGTCTTCTATCTTTATATGAAAACTATAGAAAGAGCTCATATGCCAAACAAATTGTGGGAAAGAGTTAAGTTACCCAGAATTATGAGAAAGCACTTGAAATTATTGACAAACATCTGGTATTGAAATCTGAACCCTATTTTAAACTGTTTCTGATTAAATGTATGTTAGTTTTCATAAAGTTAGTGGTTCTTGAAGTAATTAATCAGCATGACCTTCCTGAATTGGCAGATGTACTGGCCTAAGTTTCTTGTGCACAAAACAAAGCAACGGCTGACTAAAATGACCCAGATGAGGATACGCATGAGGAAGCTTGCTTTGAAAACAAGGTCCGTATCATCTCATTGTGTAATGCTTCGTGTCCATGTGATAAATGTCCACTTCATCAAATAATTATGTTTTTTAAAATAATAAAAATTTGTCCGAAAAGTGACTTCAGAGAACTGACTTCTTACCTTTTAATGTTGATATTGAAGAAGTTGTATTGAGCCATTTTATTGATGCAATTTATTGTGTTTACCAGGGAGAAAATAATGACGACACCAAGGAAAGAGAAAAAGAGAGAGGCTAGAAGAGAGGAAAAGGCTGAAAAAGCTGCAGTGTTGGATAAGGTTTTAACTTAACTGCCATACACTATAAATGTACTGGACTTGATCTGTTATTTTCGCTAGCTCTCATAAAGATTTACTGTCCTTCTGCAGAGCATTGAGAGAGAACTATTAGAACGCCTCAAGAAAGGAGTTTATGGTGATGCGTATAAAGATATATATAATTACCCCTTTGATAAATACCAAAAAGTTCTTGAAGGGGAAGAAATGCAGTTGGATACTGAGAGAGAAGAAGAAGAGGAGGAGGTATTCTTTCGCAAGTTTATCATTTCCTTCTTTTTGGGATGATCTAATATCTCAATTATTAGTATTTTGAAATGTGAAGTATTTCATCGTATGCTTACTTCAAATTGTATACTTTCATAATCTAAATACTTTTGTGGTTGGAATAAGCAGGAACCTGAGATAGAATATGTTGAAGGTTATGATGAACTTGAAGAGGAAGATGATATTGAAGATTTTGCTGGTTTTTCAATGGACAATTCTCATGCAGATGATGATAATGGTAAAGCTAAATTCTAGTCTTAACAGAATATGAAATGGATGCATGCATAGTCCACACAAAATTTGCATAACAGACTCTAATTTTCTAGTCAGCTGTGACTAAAGAAAAAGGTTTATAATGCTTTGTTCCTACTATTGTATAAAATTATGGGGAAGAGTTTGTGTGCTTGTGTGTATCAAATGGACTCATTGAAGGATCTTAATGATGCAGTTGGAAATGATGAAGAGGCAGAAGCAGTTACTCGCAAGAGAGAGAGAAAGGAATCTGCATTTGCTTCTAGAAGATTTGAGAAAGATGAACCTGCTGCCAAATCGAAGAAGAAGCCAGGGTACTTGTTGAGGTAATGGCTGGTTACATCTTTCAGTCTTGGGATCTTTAGTTGGTTCGGCATAGTTTTCTCGCTTTTTCTTGTGTGAAAAGCATTGATATATCACTTTAACTAGAACTATCTTTCCTATCCTTAGGACTAAGGGGTTGCTATTAGACCATATCGTATGTTAAATCCAAGCCGCATCCATCTTATCTCCCTTTTAGTTGTATTGATTAGTAGAGCAGTACACTTAATGTAAATAATACCCTTCTAAAAATAATTGTGAAATCACTATAAATAACTTGCTACATCTACACGTCTGTTGTGATATGTAACTAATCCCTCGAATCTGAATCTATTCCTTATTTATCAGGTTGAGCATGAAGATGCTGGTGTAAGGCAAAAGGCAGTCCACTGAGAACTTTGGCTTATTTCATTATTTGATCTGGAAAAGAGATGGTTGCAACGCTCTTCTTCTGAGGTTGGCCATCGATTTTTCTAAAAGCTTGCTGCGCAAGGAAGAAACTTGCTGATGGTGACCAAATTTTGAAAGATTTTGATAGCTGAACATTTTTTAAAATAACCGTAGAAAGTTAATTTGTTGTTTTTAGTGTTGGGAAGCCATTGTATTGCTAGCTTTGAGTTGGAGCTGGCTTTTGGCCTGTGGGTTGATTTTAGGCCAAGGGGCATTGTTAGTTAGTCCTTGGTTTTCTTTATTGTAAACGTCTTCTTTAACAAAGAAAACAATAGTCTGTTGGAAGGATCCTGGCTTTTTCCTTATATAATTAAATTTTCTTTTGTTTTGGATTTTATTTCTGTTTATGAATCCTTGTTCTCTTTTCATTTGGGTGACGTTAATGAGCACTTCTCCTGTCATTGCGTTCGAAAAGTAATTTAAAAAACATAGTTCTAAATTAGAAGGTTCTACAGTCGGTTGTTCGAGATCCAACAAGTCATGTCGTCTCTAGTTGGTTCCCAACAGTTAAACCCCTTCCTTCGTCGTATCAAAAGAAAACCAGCAGCTGAGCAGGCCGCCCGGTTGGAGCCCACAGGTTTTCTCTAGTACTTTCCAGTTCTTTCCCCCTTTCTCTGCATATATGTTTTCCTCTTTCTCCAACACTTTGTATTTCTGCCTCTCTCTCGAACTATCAATCTATTTGTCTATCATCTTCTACTTGTATAGTCTGAAAGAAATGGATCAACCCTTGTTATGTAACATGTCTGTGTACATCCAAAAAAAGGCGACAGGGCCCATCTCTATGGGAATTTCTCTCCAAAGTTTCTGTCTCTATCTAAATTTTTTTTACTTTTCCTTTATAGTATTTTATTTATAATATAGGATCTAGTTTATTATTATGCATTGGATTTTGTTTACTTATCACTAATGTGTATGGAATCATTCTAATTCGTGCTTCTCTCCAGTTTACTCACACATGGATAGTGGAATGATTCCAATCCTAGGCTCTCCATGCGTTTACTAACACATAATGAATAAAAAAAATTATGTAGGCTCAACATTAAAATCCAAAATCAAATGCACTCAAAATTAGGAATGAGATCAACTATAGGAAGTAATTAACCCAATTCCAATTCCTTAATTCTAGTATATAAGTTCCACCATTATGACTTCTCATCATTCATGACACCAACACAGAGCCAAGCCGATCAGGAGCCTCATCAAGCATATAGAAACCCAGCAAATATGCTTTAGTAAAAGGCATTGTACTAAAAACGATTTTTTTTTTTTTTTCGAAGATAAAAAGCTATCTCTTTTATTTGTTTGTACCTTTTCCTCTTTTGATAAATAAAGTCCTGTATTTCTTTTCATTTTAATGGTAAACCAATGAATTTATAAATACTATAACAACAAGAGCATTCACAATGGGTTCTCTAAGACAAATTTTAAGAAGGAATTGTAAAAATACAAATAGAGAGAAATGACTTCTCATAGCTTCTTATAATTTAATGTTGATAATTATAGTATTTATGGCCCCATTAAATTAGGAGAAACACTTATATGAAATAAGGATAACACTATTTTTCTATTCTCAACCAATCATGTTATGTCACATATGATAATTTTTCTACATGATAGCCTGTGATTGGTTGGGAATATGAAAACAGTGCTATTTCCGTTTCATACAAGTTTTTATGCTAAATTTGAGAGTAGATGCGAAATTTTTGTGTGTTTAACGTGCTATAATAAAGGAACAAATATACAGCGCATTAGTTTCTGTTCCGTAACTCAGAACACCCAACTCAGCGGTAACCTAGAGAGTGAGTTCTCAGATTTTTCCGGTGGAGATGGGATCCCTAACGAAAAGACCGTCTTTTTCTCTTTAAGGTAATTTCCTTTCCTTATTCACACCCACACCCCCATTTTCTTTTTTATATGGAAATCCTTGGTGTTGCTTCTTTTCACACAATAAAATTCAAGTCTGCAGATTGTGTTGTCTTCTCTTATTCTTCTCTTGTTGGTGTCGTCTGGCTTGTCATATTTTGTTCTTCATTGCCGTTGTTCCGCATACTTTGTGATAATTAATAGCAGTATCATTGAAGACCCACATGAGGGTGGGATTTATGTAACTGAGTAAAGATTTCATTTTGCTCAACAATAGGATTTTGATGGATACATTCTTGAATGATATCCTATCTCCCACTCGACCCAGATGGAGAAAGGTGGCATATGGAGGGATGCAACCTGGGTTTGATGACAACCATACAGATGACTCTTTTCTTGAAGATATGGTTATGAATGCCAATGTTGTCAAAAGGGACATTCTGAAGTGATGCTGGATTCTGTTTCCATCTCCCAATATCTGTGTATTGTAGCACTTGTTGGGTTTGGTTTGGACCTACACCCTCAGATCAATTCTTAATGAAAATTCACTCTGCTTCTTGATGTCACTCTTCTTGGTTTGGGTTTTCTGGTTCTCCTTTTAACTAAAGAAATGCTTTCCTTCAATCTTTTCTTTCGTTACTTACTCAATATTTCCTTTTTCATCAGTGGCTTGTATGTTTTAGCTCCCATCTATCAAACACTTACAACATCCATTAGCTCGAACTCCATTTGGGCAGTAACTGTGTCACTCCTTGTGCTCCATCTCTTCCTCCATGACTATTATGGATCCACCGTAAGAGCTCCCGGGGCTCTACACAATCCGACCTTGACAAGTTGCATCTCTTTAAATGCTTCTGTTGTGGCCTCAGTTTTCATTGCTTCATGCCTTCGTTCAAGGCTTCTTGTTTTTGCTATCATGCTTTTCTCCTTGCAAGTTTTCCTTTTCGCTCCGTTGGTTACTTACTGTATTAAGAAGTATTCCTTCCGTTTGCACCTTTGGTTTTCTTTTGGTCTCATGATCGCAACCTTGGCTTTTGTTTATACCCTGCATTTGTTACTTTTTGTGATGTTGTTAGGATTGTTGATTTTGTATCTGTGGTTTGTCCATATTGGCTTATAAGGATGCAAGAATACAAATTCGAAATCAATGGTCCTTGGGATGAGGCTAAACTTTGTTTTGATATAACTGATTGAGATTTTCGTGCCCTTTTGTGTATTTGTGCTTATCTCCCGCGTCTCTTGTCATCCATCATATTTAGGCATATGTTTCATCTGCATAGCAATTTGCTCTCTGCCATTTCTTTGTGGATGGATTTCATAGTATTCCATTGCCTTTGCTTTCAAGGAAGGTGGGATATGTTAGGTTGCTGTTATTTGGGAAACTCAAGCCATTACCCTCATGTGATAATCATAAGCACGCCTTGTCTGTTGTTGGCGGCATGGGATAACAGAGGTGGCTATTCAACATTATCTACTAGTTCTGGAGGGACATTACATGGCGCGAAAGTTCCAACGGTAATTTGATATAACCCCTTGTGTTCATAGTTCATGGGGTATTCAGCAACTTTGGACCATCTGTCTACTAATCTATGTGAAGATGCAAGCTGTGTGATTCAGAGAATTGAATTTGAGTTGGCTAATTCCAGCTAGATGCTATTCTCACTTGTGTGAAAGGCTTAAGGTGGATAATTTGGGTGGAGTAGCAGAAGAGGATTTTGACAATTATAGTAGGGTGGAGGTGGAGCTGCTATGGGATAGAGTTAGATTTTGAGTTTCACTTTGGGCTTCAGTTTCATCCGAATTTTGGGTTTTACTTTCTTTACAATTGTAGATTGGAAAGCAGCAGTTATGTAATAGTCTATTATCAGATAAGGTTTTTTTGTGGGAAGTCTGATGTTTTTTGTTGTTTTGGATGTATATCTTTGATGGACTACTTGCCCACTGCGTTTGTACACTATCCTTATTGTTTAATAAAACTATTCTTGTTTCTCATAAATTAATAAAAAAACAATCTGTGTGGTACTCATTGTGCACACACTTAATTACGTTAATATGAGTTTTGACCATAACTTGTTGATTTTCATATTTGAAAAGCAGACAAACAAATTGAAATGGATGTCAGTTTTCACTATTAATTTTTTTCCTCTTGCATTTATCTGAGTGATGAAGATATGTGTGATGGATAAACTACTTTGTATGTTTTATTAGTGACTTACAAAATTTGCCAAATGCTATACATTTACTTTTCTTTTTCTCTACAGATCTGTTTCCGTGAACTCATAAATCTAACTTGTCCTTTTTACACCTTCATCGCCTTCCCCAAATATTTTAAAGTTTAGAGGTTGTAACACTTTTCTTCTCATCTTAACATAAATTTTTATTAATAGTTTGGTTAAGCAGTTTTTGTTACAAATTAGTGCTTTTTTTCCCCAGCAGGCAACCTCAAAAGTTCATTACTATAGAAATAGTTCTTGCTAGAGTGCTAAAGACCGGCTGATGAGACTGAAGGTGACATCTTCAAGAGCTTTGAAGGCCTCATGGTAATATTCTCCACCTAGTGATCGTGTGCTAAAACTGTATGATGTAACCTCACCATATTTTATCTGCATGGATGACATACCAACCATGTTTTTGCTATATTATTGAATTCAACTCCATTGAAACTCTGGAAACAAGCATGAAGAAGTATTTTTTCCGCGTCATCACCCATCTCATGTACCAGATATGAACTAACTACACTAATAATCAAAATTTCAAAAGCAAAACTAATACGAGGAAGTATGTTCCTGAGTCCTGATTAGACAGCACACCAAAGCTGGTGTTACTGCATATAATTCTTATTGGATGAAAGACACTTTGTGTAGGCTTGTCCAGTTGACATCATTAATGTACTCGTAAGAAACAAACCAGGGGCCATCAAACGTGAAAAGGAGCTTTACAGATGTAATGTGAAGAAAAACATAAATGGTGGCTGTTTGTCTCATATCTCTGTTTGACTATATGCATATAGATATATACATAGAATTGTATACATAATATTTTGTTTAATCAGTACATTTGACTTACAGTTATATACATGTATATGCATATACACACAGATGGGAAGGAAGAACAATAAGATGAATTGTGTTGAAAAGGTTGGAAGTAGATCACTAGCTGCGACCATATGGAATGATCTAAGTGTAGCTATATTCTGTGACCTGTGTATTAAGGAGGTGGAGGCAGGACATCCTCCTGACACTCACTTTAGCAAAGTTGGATGGAAAAATTTGGTTGCACACTTAAATAAGGAGACAGGAAAAGACTATGATAAACCACAACTGAAAATAAGTGGGATTCACTTAAAGCTGAATGGAAAATGTGGAAAGAACTAATTGGAAAGGAAACTGGTTTAGGATGGGACCCCACGAAGAATACCATTGATGCATCTGATGAATGGTGGCATAGTAGAGTTCAGGTGTGTAAACTTCTTTTTAGTTTTTAAAGTTGTCATTAATTATATCATCATGAATCTTTTCTAATAGTTGTATCTCTCTCTAAAATGTAGGTAGATTCTAATTATGCAAAATTTCGAAACAATGGCATTAAACCTGAGATGGAGGAGAAGCTAGATAGGATGTTCTTGAAGACCAGAACCACCAGGGAACATGCTAAGGCACCCTTGTTTGGGTTCCATCTGAAAGTGAGGAAGCATCCAAAGATGATGCCATTAAACTCAAAGGTAGGGGTGATTCTGAACAGTTCATCCCAATTCTGACAACTCAAGCTAAAAAAAGGTCATCAGGGAGGAGGAAAAGGAGAACAGTTCAAGAACCTGACACTCAAGTTAGGAAAGAAAAGAAAGGCAAAAGAGTTGCTATAGGTGGGCAGAAGGTTGGAGGCACTGTGAAATTGTCAGAAAAGATTGATCACCTTCTTGAGTCAGTTGACAGTAGTAGTTCTGTAACTTTTAAATTGGAGGAAGGTGTACATGGCAGTAGCATTCCTGAAGTGATGCAAGCAGTTCAATCTTTACCTGGAGCAGAACCCGGGAGCAAATTGTGGTTGTTTGCAACTCGGTTATTTTATCTGAAGACAAGAGAGAGATGTTCACTTACATGAAAGATCCTGACATTAAGCTTCAATGGCTTAATTATGAATTCACTGAAAAATAACTGGGATGCACTTATATTGTGAACATTGTTGTATTATGTTGTTGATATTATGGTTTAAACTAGTGACTGTTGTTTTGATATCATATGCATTTGCTTTACTGTTGGTGTTAATTCTTATAATTCATGTTCGGATGACTGCACTGCATTTGTTTGACATGTTAGGATTTATTGTTTTGCATCTGTGGAGTGATGATGAAAAATGGCTATAAATTGCAGATTTATTTATAAATGTGGACATTCCATAAGATGACACGTTTAACCAATCTATATGTGTTTGTGCTCGCACTAAAAAAAGCTTCTATCATAATATGTATTGAATTACTTGCAGCGCAATTATGAGTTGAGGGTTGAAGGAGAATTGTTACTAAAATGGAATGTTCTTGTACATTATATTAGATTGAATAATCATATATATATATATATATATATATATATCTGTGTTTGGTAAGGAAATATCATATATATACTACTTACTCAGAGCTTCAGTCGAGGATCTCTCAAATTTTACCACATATGCGATCATATAAAGGGATGAAGGTGTCATTTTCCAAAATTTATCACATATGGCAACCCTTACCCGTAGCCACCCAAACTTGTAAAGTCTGCTTGGGCCAAAATTGCACCTCAATCTTTTGGATTAATCCAAACTATTCCCCCATGCCAAGGCGTAAATGTTTCTTCCCATTCAAGCCTTTTCATCGCAACTATCTCACATCTGTTTGCTAGAAAATCCTTCTACTACATAAAATCTGAGCACATAAATGCTCGACTATAAGAGACTCTGAGGGACAAACGTATGAAATACCCTTTTTTTCTTAGGATCTAGAATGCATGTGTAAATACTCTTAACTACTTGTGGTTTACAAGCCCCTTACGGTTAATAATGTATAACTTATTATACTCATGCCCCGTATAAGGGGAAAAAAAACCCGAGAAACCCATTTGAGTTCCATTTCACGGCAAAGCTCTCTCCTTTCTCTTTCCCCACCTCTTTACCCATCCCACCTACAGGCTACAGACGAGCCAATTCCTCGTTGGCACACGATAAAAGAGATAACACGCTATTTTCTATATAAAAAAGATTTAAGGGTAAAGCATAAAGCTCAGATGAATAACTGATATTTTGATTAATTTTCTTTGGTGGAGGACAAAAAAACGCAAGCGTCTCAGGCAAGAAAAATTGACCAAGAGTTCAAGGATTCAACCAAAGCTGGGTCGTCCAACCAACGAACCAATCTGACGTGCAATAAATATTACCCAAACCAAATAAAACCATACTTTCACATCCCACTCACCAATCTGTGCTTTCTACAACAAAGAAATGGCTTAGAACCCATTGCTTGTCTTAGCTAATTTCTCAACTTCCACATTCCATTCCTGACTTTCTGGTTGTGAGAGTCGACTGCACACTCAGATTGACAACAGCAAAGAAATTGAAAGATAACTGAAACGGGTTTGTACGGTTTTATATTAAAACGGGTTCATAGGCTACAGAAACTTACATACGTGAGAAAAATTTGTAATACAAAGATGCATAGGAATTTCAGTCCATAGGGAACACTGCCTCATACATTGGCTTTGAGATATAGGCCAAGAATTTCTATTATAAGTTTCAGCGTAAATAATTCTACACAAATCTCTTGTAAAAACAGATTCATTCATTATCTCTAATCAAAACTAACCCAGAAGTTATGTCAGATTTTGTAAATCAGTGACCAACCATTTCAGGCTTTCAAATTTTAACATTGACGTCCATTAAAAGGAATAATCCTTCAAATCCGCCTTATGGTCATCCATTTCCACGTCAGCCGCACACTCATCTTCAGTAAGGGGAGGAAGTTGTCGGGTTTTGCGCTTCAAGTTATGCTTGTGCCACTCACTCTTGAAATGATCCCTGTACTGCTTGGAATCACCCACAAACGCATTGCATGTGTTGCATTTGTTTTGCTTTCCCTCCGATGCAACAGTTCCTTTCCCCGTAGAGATGCTCTGTTTTTGCATTTCATTGCTCAGTTTTAGCACAGGATCAGCCAACTCCTTTTTCAATAAGTCAGAATCAGTGGTTTCTTTTTTCTTTGATAAGTCAAAATCAGAGGACTCATTGAGCGAGTGCGATGGTTCATCCTCATGATCATCGTATTGATCAATAACAGTGTCACCCTCAGCATGCACAGAGAGTGCAAGAACTTCATATCTCCCATGCAACTTCATCATCAATCCCTCGCAGTCACGATAAAAACCAGGATCCAATTCACAATCTGCACAATATAAATACAAGATGAACAGACGATAAGAGTTCACGATTACCCCCACAATGGAAGAGTATTGCATAAGCAATTGTATATGCATGACTCGGTAAGTAGTATGCTTAAAGTACACTAGTCTCTATTGCACTTTAAGAAATTAATTTGCAAAAGACAAATAAAATATCTAGACTTACAATAGATATCTGACTTCCAGTTTGATCTTTCGAAACTATTGTAGCATTCCAGGCAGTCAGCTTCTCTGAAAGGGATGAAAATTCTTCTTCAGGTACTATGAGTCGCAATCTCATTGGAGACCTTTTTATCGGGAAGTGCTTCTGAAGCTCATGAATAACTTCCAGAGCCTGCATAAGAAATGGTATAATAGATATTCAACAGATGGTAACACCATATGCCATATTACCTAAATCAGAAACGTTGCACCTCACACAAATAGAGAGATATATGTCCTACATTTGTGTAGATATTCCACAGACAGAAACACCACGTGCAAGCACGCATGTGCACACATACGCAAGTCTACATATTATACACATATTTCACAGAACAGCAACACCACGCACGTGCACACATACACACATACATATAAAAAATAAATGAATGCTTATATTTCACAGACAATAATACCCTGCAACATAATTTTCATACCGACAGACTCATTTAGAATGCACCAATCCTTTTCTTTTCCCTGGTACTTGTGGTATTTAAGGTAATACAGTAATTATCAATAAAAGTGGCTGAATTCACATCTATCAGGCATCTACTAAACTCCATACAAATATATATTCTTATTTAAGATGCAATGAAAGAAAAATTCAGACACCTGCTTCTTCGAACCTCGATGTGGATCTACAGCAAAGTGAATTTCATGCATTAGACTCTCAATCAAGCTAATAGTGTAAGGGCGCCGAGTTTCGGGATTATAGGTTTTCTGCATAACAATGGTGGCAATGTCTCGAAACTGACTGGACAACTGAGATTCCCTCTCCTTCCCAGCCACTTGAAGCTCTCCTTTGTCCAAAATCTACAACAACAAAGCTTACAGGTCAGCCATACATTTACAAAGCTAATTGACCAGATAAATAACATAAACAAATTTATTTCACTGACCTCCAAACAAATCTTGGTCTGATCATCTGAATCAAATGCAGCGTTCAAATCTTTTGTCTTGGCAAGATACCTTTCGAGACATTCGTGTAAACGGTATGTGATTGTAGCACTTCATCCAAATCTTTCTCTCTGTCCCAAACATATAACATAACCAGTTTCTTAAATTATTTATATTAGAACATATTAATGCCTCCAATGATACTAAATTAAATTCAAAATGTTCTTAAAAAAATAAATAAATAACTAACGAGAACACATTACACAAGTTTCCTTTATATCCACAAATATCAATTGACAACAGAAGTCTGCCCAACATTTTGCTTCTTCAGTTAGACTTATGTATATAAATCAACACACATGAATAAGTTTACTTATATAGAATATGTTACAGACTGTATGATAAACACCTGAAAACTAGTTTATAAATATTTCTCAATAAAAATGGTGTATGCATATTATTCTAATTCTTCTAGGAAAATATGCTGAGGGAGCAAAGCACTTCTTGCAAATCCTTCTTTAGCAATAAATTGGCATTTAAATTAAACAAATTTTAGAGGTTGAGAAAGAGAGCTTACACGCCAGACCGCCATGAGAGGACCTTGTTCTTGTAACAAGCAATTTCGAAGCGAGTGCCGCGCTTTTTCAGACGCACCACCGCCACGTTCGTTAGCCTCTTCTGCCCTACGGGCTGCACCAGTGATCTAGACATATCTCTCTCTCTCTCTCCTCTCTCTCTCTCTCTTGCTCGTCGTGCTGCTGTGTGTGAATTGTGAAATCGATTAATAGTACATTCCAGAGCCTTCTTTAAAGTGTAGGGCGGTTCGGCTGACCAACTAACTTGTCATAGGCCTTTATACTAACAATGGATAAGGATATCCTTATCCTGGATAGGACTACAAGGCTGGTAAATTTCAAGCCCAGCCCAACTCAACAATTGGGTTGTCGGGTCTAATTTCGGATTGACCCAGAAAAATACAGGGTTTTATACTCTCTCTCTCTCTCTCTCTCTCTCTCTCTCTGTGTTCTGTGTTCTCGGGGTTGATTGGTTAAGCTTCACAGAACCATGCCTTCTTCCCTCAATAAATGCGAAGCTTTAGTATCTGAGGAAGAAGTTAGCTCCAGCAGCAACAAAAATGATAGCAAGCGCTCCACTTTCTTCGATGTTTATGGCCCTCAAGTACTCTCTCTCTCTCTCTCTCTCTCTCTCTTCAATTTTATCTTATTTTTTATTCTTTGTTTGGCCATGAATTGGGATTAATAATATTTGATGATCTTTATTTTGCATTTGAATATTGAATTTTTTTTATATTATAAACAAAATAGTAAATATAGAGGTGGGCATATACTCTTGTATCTAAAAGAGGGGTGTCTATAGCTATGCATTCGATTGTTGTGGTGTTAGTGTTATGCATATATGCAGTAAACTTTAGCTTATACCAGTAATGCTTTTTGTGCCTGCCTTATAGTTGCGCTCTCTGGTGGCTTTTGATAAAGAATGAACTCTAGTGCATTACTTATAATTTTTTTTTCCCTTTTTCAGAGTAAAGCGGAGGTGGTTTTTAAGACGCCAGAAGCCAACTCAACTCTGAACTTGCAAGTGGGTATTCTCAATCACCCAATTTTTTGAAATATTGTTCATTTTCTGTGAATTGGTTGGAAAAGTTTTGATTTGAGTTTGGCCATTTATTAATTAAGAAAAAGAGTCAGCCCAGTTTGTGTTGTGGTGCAGGAGGTTCAAGAACTAGTGACATGGGTGCTTGGTGAAGGATTCATGCCGTCTTGGGTTTTTATTAAGGTAAAGGATGCTCTCATTCCTTATCGTCTATTTTGATAATTCCAGTGTATGAATGGTTACAGACCAATGAATTATTAAGGTAAAGGATGCTCTCATTCCTTATCGTCTATTTTGATAATTCCAGTGTATGAATGGTTACAGACCAATGAACCATAATAAGCAATATTACCAAAAATAGGTGGAAGAGTCGTTAATATTCCTACCAACATGGTTATATCCATTGATAAGATGTAGAGAGTTGACCATAGATAATGTTAACACATCCCATCAAATAGTGAAAGACTCATTGAACTGTGAAATGGTTCCCTGTTCAATATATTTCTGAATCTGTTTGGCTTTGGTGCATAATTTACAGGCATGCAGTGGAAAGAAACATGAATCCTTAGAGTTATTTATACTGTAACCTTGCATTTTGCAGAACAAACCGCTCATTCCCAAAGTGGTTATGCTTTACGTCCCAGGCCTGGATGCAGCTTTGTACTTATCACAGCACCGACTACTTAAGAGTCTCAAAGAATTTTGTGGCAAGCCAAGGCCAGTTTTAGCTCTCAGGTTGGTGATGAGTATGATTTTTTTTCCTCGCCTTACGAGGTTATTGTTGTGTATTTTCCTGTGCTTGCAATTTTTATGGCTTTATTCTTCTTTTTTCCTATGCTAGCTGTATGTCGGATGGAATGCAGACGATTGATGCCCTCCTAACATGCAAAGTGAAAGAAAGAGGGAAGAAAGTAGTACCGCTACAGAGAAATCTAACCTGGCATCTCAACAAGGTATGTGACTTGATCATACCAAACTTCTTGCTCTAATCTTAATTTGCTAATTTGCATGAAAAAATCGGTAATTGTACGGAGTTCAAGGATAATTTACTTGGGGGAATGCTATTCCAACTTGTCTGAGTAGAAAAGCAAGCCACAAGCACCTGAATCTCTGTGTATTTCTATAGGTCTCTGGTGTTTCAGTAATATGCATGCACTGAAAAGAACACTGCTCAGGTGGCTGTCTACTTATTGCAGCGCTCTAGTTGCGTTTTTTAAACTACTCCATTCCAGTTTGGCTAGAAGTCCTCTCTTTGGTAATATTGTTCATTATAGTTTCATGTACACTGTTCTGAATTAACAAGTTCCTTGTTGGGAGTGTATTAATGCTATGTAAGAGGAGAAAAATTTCTCATGTTAGGAGGAAATCTTGGATTGGAACTATTAGGAAAGAGCCTACGGGGTTGTGATTAAAATAAGAAACCAAATGCAGCATGTGATATGGATGAAGCTAATTTCTCATAGCCAACTTTTCTTGCTTCCAGAAGTTGAAATAAAAGCTTTTGTTGTTTTCTTCATGCTGTCAAGTATTTACTCTCATTGTAGTATTCCCAAGTATTTGCATGTACAAAGCATGAACAAAAATGCAATGCTATCCGGAAAGAGTAGTTTCTGCTTCATATAGATGGCTAATGATTCCTAACATTGAAGTGTAACATCAAAATTATTACACTATAATTTTGGAGTGCACCATAAAAATCCTTGGATTTCCCTTTTGAACTTCATGCATTGTTTCATCATTGTGAATAGAGTCCAGATATCTTGGAGATCTCTTTTGTATGTGTTACTTAGCCATCCGGAAGAGTAGTTTTCTGATTCATATGGGCAGCTAATGATTCCTAAGATTGGAATGTCGTGTCAAAAATATTACAATAAAATATTGGATTTCACCTTAAAGTTCCTTGTATATGGAAGTCTAGAAAAGCTTTTGCTTTTGAAATTCATGCATTGATGTTAGTATGAATAGAATCCAAATATCTTGTCAGTTTTCTCTATCTTTGAGATATATTTTGTATTGGTTATTTAGCCATACAGTTTTTGCATTTCTTAAGTTGGTTTAGGTTTTTATAATTTGATGCAAGCTGCATAATGGAAGTTATAATATTTTTATCTTTTTACTTAAAATAGTAATTTCCTTACTGAAGTTGTGCAAGGAAATTTAAAAGGTCCTGTACTTGAACCATTGTTGGTCTTATTCCTTTGACATATGCATTTTTATTTTTCTTGCACTTTACTAAGATATATTAACCTTGCTTGAGGTTTTGTACTTCATGCCTTAAATTAACTTCTACTATTAGCTGTTTGTGACTGGACATGAATGAAGGTTTTGTTCCTTTATAACAAGTATGTCCCTTCTGAAAATTATTTTGCCATTCCTTGCGCTGGTACAGATGATCCATCCTCTCTGGACCTTATGAAAGATCTACCTTTCCCTCTTACATTTTACACTCTTACAACAAAACAACTTGAAGACAATGGATATTGCTTCAATCAGCCAGGTAACAAGACATGTGCTGTTTTAGTTATTAATTAAACTTTTCTCTTTGAGTTAATTTGTGGGTAGTTCCTTAAACTCTTATATTGTTTCAATACAGGTTTTCTTTCTACTCTTCCAGCCCCATCAGGATCATCTCATTATGAAATGTTGGCACTTGATTGCGAGATGGTAAATCCTTGATTGTCAATTTTGTGAAGATAGGAATATATTTTAATTATTTCCATAAAGTACTAGATAACTGTTAGCCTGTGGGAAGTTCATTGTCGGGCACATTTTTCCTTTCAATTTATTTTGTACTTGTTAGCTGAATCCTAAATGGGGGGTTTATCCGCCAGTGACTTCGTATCTGAGCCAGTAGCTGCTGATTAAAATGTTTAAGAGCTGTTTGTTGGTGATCTTGAGCTTAACTACTTTGGGGTTGGGGTGATGAAATAGTACAGCCTGTAGGTATTAGATTAAGCACGTAAACAATAGAACAGTGAAGAATATCGGAGGTCGAGGAGACAAAAATATAGATCGAAGGGATGATAGAAAGGACGGAAATCAGAGAACTGAGAAGGACAGAAATCACATAGTTTTAAGAGAAGGTTTACTCAATATCCAAATCTGAATTTTAAAGAACTAAATGGGGTTATTTATAGCAAACTAAAACGTAGACATAATAGGATAAAATCCCTTGCTTAGACAGAAATCCTAACCCAAATAAATAGGAAACTTAAAACTAGAAATCTGGAAATCTGGAAAAGTAGAAATTCTACTAGAATTTGGAAAACTAGAGAACCTAGGAAACTTACAAATATATTAGGAAACTAATAAATTTAGGTCCTATGCGTCCTGCATCAGGTGGTTATGTTTGATAGGTATATTTTTTGGAGGTAGTGCGGGTGCTTCTGGGTTTTTCTTTTCCCTTCACCTTGGGACAGTTTCATTGTGGGAGGGATGATGTTGGTTTTGGCGGACACAAGGTGGCTTGGTGTCTTGTTCAGAAAGGAATGACAAGTATAAGACTTGGTTATCGATAAGAGGTCGCATACTGACATTTGAGCTTGAAGTTCTAAAACTAGATCACTACCTTCTGAAAGTTGCTTATTGAATGCACATGCTTCTACTTTTCTTATACATGCTAATTTTTTTTTTGTCAGCGCTTTAGCTGTTAATCTTGTCTCCTTGTATATGACGTGTTCAGATTGTGGAAATTTATTATTTATTATTTTCTCATAAAGTATTGGTGTACTCATGTCATCCTGGTTGACCCATTTTGTTTTGTTAGTGTGTCACAAGTGAGGGTTTGGAGCTAACAAGAGCAACATTGGTGACTATCAAAGGAAAGGCAAGTTCTGAATATTTTGTTTCCTAATTCTGCAAAAGTATCTGGGTCTAAATGTGGGTTGGATGCAAGAATTTCATACATTTTTTTTATTTTAAATTTATTTAATCTAGAAGTTAGATTTTAATGTGGCTTTGCAATTGTTCAGTGGTTTCATTTAAATTGGAATGTTTCAACACTTGTAAATTCAGTTGAAATCTTGCTCATGTCTCTTCAACTTTGGCCTGTGTGTCATTTTAGTCCCTAAAATCTGAATGTCACTGCTTAAATCCATAAATCAATAATCCTTCATCAAGTTGGTCCAAATCTCAACTTTTGTTAGTTTTTCAGTAAGTGATTGTGTGAGTAGCATGTGGTCACTTAGTTAAGGCAAATTAGTCATTTCCTTTCCTTCCCTATGTGTGCCACGCCAGCGCATTAACAGAATTTTAATGGAAATGAATGGAAAGGACCTGTGGAAAACATGAAGATGTCATTGATCAATTTTAAACACGAAGACGTCAGGGGCCATTTATGATATAAGCCGTCTTAATAGTATTGCCGAAGTCCTGTTTTTGCTTTTTGGAATTCCTCGTATAAAATTATTTCAAGTTCTTGCTTGCCAAGATTTTTGAAATTTTGACTAGTATTTATGATTCTGAATGCTTTGAAACTCTTAATGTATTCTAGAGTGTTAAAATTTTTTCTATGTAGTTTTGTTCTTATGGCTTTGTTACCACTGCTAATAACTTGTTTTCTCAATGTTTGAACTTTCCCTTTGATGAATCTCAGGTTGTGCTAGATAAATTGGTTAAACCAACAAATACTATCATAGATTATAACACCAGGTATGTTTTTATTGCTTTTGTCATTCCTTTAATGTATTTGCTCTAGTCTTTAAACAGTTATAGCTGCTGATATTGCTTGGAAATAATTAAACTCAATAGGAATTGAGAAAGGTAAGGAATCCGGACATTTTGTTGTCTCACAGTGCTGGAGTAATGAGTAGATAAAAGAAGAGGAAGTAACTTCTCTGGAAAAAAATAAACTAGACAGAATGAGCTAAACGTTTATGATCTTTATGTATGACTCAACCAAACTTGGGCATTGATAGTTTTCTATTCAATATGAAAAATAAAAATACTATAGGAAACCTGTAAAGCTTTAATCAAACCATCAGTTTTTCATTATTATTTTATTTCTGGGTATAGGTGATTCTTAATGTTGATGCTCTTTTGGATAAATATGAGCCCTATAATTTGATTGCAGGTCTAATATTTGATTTACTGCTTAGTGAATGACAAGTGACTTTCTATGCAGGTTCAGTGGAATCACAAGTGAGATGTTAGATGGCGTGACTACAAGTCTTAAAGATATTCAGGTTCATTCTTGGGTCTTGCTCTCCATTTTGTACATATATATGTATTGTATTGTGCTTACTGGTTTTCCATGGTAATGACTTGTGAGATGTTACTTCACTTATTAATTTTATCATATCATGTTAAGACACCATTTCATTCTGATTTATAAAATTCTATTTCTATGCTCAGGACGAATTTCTAAAGCTGGTTTACAAAGAGACCATCCTAGTGGGGCATTCCTTGGAGAATGACTTGTTAGCATTAAAATCTCTCACAATCTAGTGATTGATACAGCAGTGTTGTACAGGTATTCCCGTGGTGGATCTTACAAATCTAAACTTCGGGATCTTGCCCGGAAATTTCTTTCTAAAGAGATACAGCAGTCAGGGGATGGCCATGACAGTATTGAAGATGCAAGAGCTGCTATGGAATTGGCACTTCTAAAGATTAGACATGGTAAGTGGCAATCTTTTGCATTTAAATTGTACCATTAGTGGAATTTAAGGACATTGGTGGAAATCAAAAAGTGTGTGTAGTTTGTAAATTCACAAACAGGAAGATATGTAGCCCGCCAAAGAGTTTAAATCTTGCAAAACAGCTTTCTCTTACACCCTTTTTCTGTACCACAATGCAGTGTGTACATATCAACAGCACTACTTTTCTTAATGTATATGAATTTTGTTTTGACGTAGATTGAACCTCCCTATGGTCAGCACATACATTTATGTAGCTGAGATAATTATCATGTACCTTTGAATCCGTCAATGTCTGTTAATGTTGTAATTTAGTTTTGCTCTCATATGCATGCCCTCTTTCTTGGATTAGGACCTGACTTTGGCACAAGACCATCTCTGATACGGAAAAGACTCCTAACTGTTTTGAGTGAGAGTGGAAAGACCTCCTCTATCATTGATGATGTTTCTATTGTGAAGCGATATGCTTCTGAATTATCCCATGCAGTTCCCGTGTCCTCTGATGATGAAGCTTCTTCCAAAGCTCAAAGGAGGTAAATTGTAATGGCTGTGCCCCCGTACTTTTCTCGTATTTATTATTTGTTTTGGCTACATCTTTTACATGCTTGTCTTCATCTACTGTTGATTGTAGGCAGGAATGATAGAGTGCATTTTGTCTGGACTCAGTTTTCTGAATTGAATCGTTATTTCAAGAAACAAGCAGAGGATCCGGAGAAGTTAAATGGAAAACTTGCAGAGATGATATCCTTGCTTACATGTGATAAGAATTCGGGAAATAAAAAAGGTATTAAATGCAACTTGGCATCTGAACTCAAGGAAATTCTAAAGCGAGTGGATACTAGAATACGTACCCTCTATGCTGCATTACCCACTAATGCCATGATTATTGTCTGCACCGGTCATGGAGATATAGCAACTGTCTATAGGTATGTACGACATTGCACCTTGATCATTACGATGTTGTCTTCGGTGTGCCCTTTGAAAATATTTTTAAAGAGCAATATATGAGTAATTGATTCTGCATGTTGAGGAAATTTGCCTATCGCGACAGTCAGATGTTGATGATCCCTTAGTGGAAATACATTTGGTGTTGTTTAAATGGCAATCAGCGTAGTATTCTATTGATGCCTCAGCTAACAGATTTGTTATATGAAACATTGATATAAGCAGTAATTTTGAATGTTGATTCAACTACTAGTAGGCTAGAAGGGCGATTATTGGCTTAACATTGGAGATGGCATGTGGGCTTTGTTACTGAAGTTAATTCCATTGGTGAAGATACCCTTTTCCTTAGCATGCATTTCTTAGTACCACCATGTGACCCATAAAATACATTAAGACCATAAACCTGATGCATGCTATTTAAATAATAGCTTTTCTAAAATCATCAATTTCACAAATATTGTTTAAGAAGAAGAAATTAAGATATGTGATGGTTAGAATATTCCAAAGTTTCATGGTGATCAAACAGGTTATTTTTATAAGCAAAAATGTTATGTCAACCAACAAGAAAGTTTTTAACAAAGTATGTGAAGACAAAAGAATGTGAAACTGATGTGCAAGCTGAGTAACTTTTAGTGTGCATGATAGTCCGCTCTTGAAGTTTATCATGAGAAAGAAGGTTTAGTGTTTAAATTTCTGAAACTCAAATACCCTTATACCTCAAGGGAGGAATACTTAATTAGACATGGGGTTGAGTTTGATTGTGATGCCTGATTATTTGCTGCACAATACACAAGTTCTTAGTGTCAAGATCAAGACTGCCTTGGTCTTCTAGAACAGAGCAAACTCTTGGAATAGTGTAGTCACCTCTGGTGATAGAATTTTGTGAACATTGTGCACAATATTATTCTTGCAAGTACTGGTGGTATTCAAAAGTGTAGCTTGATGAGTTTCACTTACTTTTTTTTTTTTTTTTTTTTTTTTTTTTTTTTTTTTTTGGGGTCCTTACTTCTAGTGTATGTCCCAAAAGAGATGCAGCTCAAGGATAGAATTTTCTTCGACTGGTGAATCTTGTTTCATTGAAATCTAAGGCTTTGATATCAACTATTTGGTTGACATCTTATAAAATAATACAAATTTATTTGGATTGTTACATGTCAAGTTGCTTAATTGAAGTTGATTCGTGTCTGACCCTATTAACTCTTGTGCATGGGTGAAGATTAAGGAAATTGCTTTTGGATCGTAGTGAAACCACAATGTGCCGCGAGAGTGTTGTAAAGGTATTGGAAGAGCTCCAAGCCCAAGCTGAGGTAGCATTGTGTTTTGTTGGTGTGAAGAGTTGAGTAGAGATATCAAAGGGTTGTAGAAGTGACTTCCAGAGAGAATTAGGTGAGGAGACCTTATGGACAAAAATGAGCATTCCGGCGGCTTTTTCTACTTGTGATCAGTGTCCACAAGAGCAAGACTGTTCCGTATCTTACAAAGTTCAAGCAGCTTCTTGTCGGAATGATTTTTTTATGAGGCTCGGACAACTACCAAAATCCCTATGGAATATCAGAAGTCGGCAAAGTTATGAAGGAAAATCTGGAATGAAAACAGGTTCTCTTAAAAGAGGGGACGAGAAAGTGCTGGAAAAGTTGAAGGGGTAGTTTATTCCCATACTTACCAGAGGGAAGTCCTAATTGTATTTTCTGATCTTGTAATTTATATATAATATTATTTTTCACAATTTTGATGATGGTCAATCATATTCAAAATTAATCGTCACCTTTTTCTTGGTGGCTGGGAGGAATGTGATAGAAATTATCATTGTAGCGGCTGGTATTTCGGATAAAATATAAAAGTAAAAATATGTTTGATATTTTTCTCTTCTTAGGTAGCATTTGTATTATGCAAAGATTTTTTTTATTTCTTTTTTTATACAATCAATAGTCTAAACTATTCTAAATTAATCTAATATAGGGGATTTGAACTTGGGTGCAAGGGATTGGGCTTATTGCTCTGACTAGCTGCTGGTCTAATCCACGTTTGTGTACAAAGACCTTTTTACTTTGGGAATGCAAAACTCCAATTTTTTTGGTTTCAGGAAAGGAATCTTAATCTTATTAATTTACCCATAGGAAGAAAGGAATCCTTGGTTGGAGAAAGACTTTCATGAAATGTACTATCCCAATTAATAACGCTATGACACGTGTGATAATATTTTTACATGGCATAGCATTATTGATTAGGAATAGCAAAACAGTGCTATCACCGTTGCAACTAAGTTTTTCTTTCTTGGGGAGGGGTTGCCCCCTATTGTCAACTCAAAGAGTAATGGTTTGCTAACACGTTTGCATGCAACAGTTATGTTTTCATCTCTCTTCGTATGACCTGTAACGTGACGAGAGATGCAAACACCACCAGTGCATGCAACTGAGATGGTCAAATTTTTATTTTTATCAAAGGGAGAAGAGATTCGAATTTGGAGAGGCCAAATTTGTTTAAACAAAACCACAATGGACTTCATGACAATTGAATTAGAATTAGGTTAAATTTGTCTAATTCCAGGAATAGTGCCTGGTTCAAATATGACAATTGAATTAACAGATAGTCACCCTTGAGTGCAATCTGAAGGTGATTTGAATTACTGAATTCATTTCAATTGAAGTGATATGTGTTCTATATTTGGCTAATGCAGATAGCATCAGAAACGTGGGCAATGAAAACACCTGAAAACACTGAAGTTAGGCCATACAGTGTTTGGATATTAAATTTGAAAGGCCTCAAAATGTCAAGATAATACTATCATTTTTCTTATAAACAAAAAAGAAGGCAATAAAATGATAAGATGGAGAAGAGTATAGAAAGGCTATTCTATTACAAGCATAGAGATCATATATCAGTGTGTTAGATAAGCAGCAGCTCCCTAGGTCCTTATTTATTAACTCCGAATCCGATTTACCTGTATCAGTGTACGTCTTGATCTCACACAAGACTATAAGTACAAGACTGAATGAAAGCATAACAGTAGTTTGGAACTAAATGATACATATCCATCAACATCATCACCTCCATGCTGAGGCAACAATCAAACTTTTGTTTTCCCATCCAAAATGAAGTGCACCGGCCTCCTCCTTCACCTTGTACCTGTCACAGTACGGTCTGATAAGTTCCCGAATTGAATCAGTTATGCTTGTGCTCATAGGACATGAAGTAAATCCTGCCATGGTCATCCTAGCCCTCCACTTTCCAGCTACCTCATAACGCTCTATTCTTTCCTCTCCTTCGCATGCAACAATGTTCACTATGTCCCGTGCCAGGCACTGCCTTTCAACATTCATCCTATCCTGACTATCTCTTGGGAGAGCTGCATCAAGGGAATCAAAAACAGCAGAGTAGTAATTGTAGGCTTCAATAAATCTTGGGAAAAAGGGGGTAGTATTGGTGTTCACGTCTTGTTCTACAACTGTAACGAGTTTTGGCCTCAAGCTCTTGACCATCCGAAGAAGCTGGTCCCTCTGGTTTACTGTTGAAACACTTTCATCAGGCATGTGGTGAAGCTGAAAAGCAAAGTTTACCAAAAGAGCTTCCCCAGGCCTGCAGTCCAGCATTGAGGTATTGACGATTGAAGTCCTCGAGGCCACTGCTTGAAACTCAAATGGAACTTTAAGTGCTTCGGCAAGCTTCTCGAGCCTTTGTCCAATGATGTTAAGGCCCCCAACAGGACGTTGAACAGACTCAGGATCATCAACCCCTGTTAACCTCAAGTGTGGTGGCTTACCTAGCCGATTAGCAAGTGTTTGTATGAGTTTTATGTATTGATTCCCCTGGTTTATGTCGAAATCTATTATGTGAACCATTTTTTCATCTTTACATGCTTCTATAATGGCTCCATTTGCAGCCATAAAGCCAAATTTGAAGCAAGGGCACACCTCAAAAAGGACTTGCATGGCTGCAAGGCGATAAGAGGATGGGGGTTCCTTGCATTTCAAAGATCTGTAAATAAATTTTCCTGAGGAAGCCACGCGAGCTGCGAGGCCTTCTACCATGTAAGCTGCAATCCTCTGAGCAGGATCTCCTTGAATCGAGACCATCTGCCTTAGCTCACTTATCATTGTTGATGCTCCTTTGATGTTGCCCTCTGAAAGTGCACCAGCACAGTTGTAAAGCAGCTGCTTGGGTGTCTGAGGAGAAGCTTGTGATATTTCTTTGTTGCTACTGATGCTGCTCACATTAGACTCAGATGATGAAGACTCCTTGGGTGAGTCATGGAGCAATTCATTCTGGATTGGATCTGTCCATTCACCATCCACTTCCATGCTTTGACTACTGCAGTTTATTTCCTCATCATTTTCATCATCATTGTCCTCAAGAAGTGCTCGCTCCAATTCTTGAAGCTTCAGTCTCATCTTATCTTCATCAAAGCTTTCTGCATCGGGGCTTTGACTCTCAAGTAATCTGATTCAAAATTGGATTGATAAGCATCATGTTGCCTCATGGACATTAAAGAAGTGTTAAATGGATTTTAAGTGTTCAAGGAGGAAACTGATCCAGCTCTGAGCTGGTAAGATGAGTCACCTCGTGGATTAGTTGAATTTCCAGAAATGCCAGAGCTAGATGGATTTGCAATTTCTTCCACTGGGGAGTCAAGGAAGTACTCATAGCTCTCAGCGGGGTAAGGATCAGCCACGTACAGAGTCTTATGCTTATCAGAGGAAAATGTTTGAGTGGACAAGGTGGAACTGTCATTGCTGCCCTTTGGAGAGTAGAGTTTGGGGTTTCTGTAAGATGTGGCGGAGAGCTCCGCTGGCCTAACTAAAGACATGGTATTGTTTTACCTCTTCAGTTGTTGAATAAGACTAGTTCTATCACACAGTTGAGTTCTGTATCACAATTTGTCACACATTAGACGGTAAATTACTGTCAAACTCTCAGTAAGACTGGAAATTAGCAAAACAGATCAAATCAATCCGGTGTTAGTTTCTACGATGCAATAAGCAGAAATTCTGCGCAGAACATTGAAATTAACAATGTATTCTAAACTTTTTTCAAAAATTGTATTCCGTACGTTCTTTTGCACTTTCAGGTAAAAACTTGTGCAAAGAAGCAAAATGAATGAAATTGCATGAGACTCACAAAAAGTATAAGCTACAATTAAGTTCTGTTTGCCAGGATGGAGAAGATATAGCTTACAGAAAGGCCCTGGGATGGAACAGCAGCACCAGTTGTATGGTTTTCTTTAAAATCATGTATCTGAAATATGAAAGCCTTGAACAACATGGCAACTCCAAAGAAACCCAAAAACCAAAAAACAAAATTGTTGTTTCATGGCAGCTGGCAATTACAGAGGAGTAAGTTGCCAAACTGGAAAGGACTAAGACAAAAAAAACTTTCTGAGATTACAACATGCATAAACATCATCACAGGAACAGAGAGATCCATGCCTAAGCCAATGATTTCATTGACTTTCTGTAAATATAATATGCAAACATAGCTCATGACAGTTCAATTCATCAGAGGAGAAATTTAAGAAATCTAAAATAGAAGGAGAAGGAAAAAGAGATATACCTGATGCTGCAAGACGAAGACCTCTATGAAGAAGGTGATGAGATGATATGAGCAATCAAGTCCTGTATAATTCAGTAGACAACCCAAATGAAGATGAACCTCAAAATTTTCTTTGTAGGAAGAGGAAAGGTTGAGGAATTGACCTTGGGATTAAGACAGAGGAAAAGGGCCAAAATACCTCCTTATATTTATTTAAATAATTTTATTAGATTGTTGTGAGGTTAGGTAGATTGAAGAAGGAACAAACAAGTAGAAAAAATAACCCCTAAACAAATTTCAAGAAAGACCCACATAAGGAAAATTAAAATATTACAGGAAACTATACGCCATTGGGTGGATATTTACTAGCCATTTCAAGAATCTGACTATTTTGGAGAGCCATTTGTTGGAGGAGACTTTGTGCAGAAAATTCCAACGTTCTGGAATTTCAGAAAGACCCAAAAAATAAATAAATAAAAAAGCAGTGAGAAAGAGGAACTTACCCAACAATTCTCTTCTTCAAGGAAACTTCTCAATTCCACATTCTCCTGGCCTCTTCCTGTGGTTTTCACCTTTTCTTTTGCTTTCATTTGTGTTCATCGGTCTGCATGTTTATACCAACTTGTCTGACTAACTTTGTTTTGTTGACAGGAGAACGTCACATTGTGTACTTCAAAGCACAACTATTGGGGTGTTCCTACTCTGGCCAGCCAATCCCGACCATTCAATCTGCAATCTGCACAAAAATGGATGAAACCTACGGCGGCAGATTGGCTTTGCAAAAGTCAAGAGAGTTGGGTAAAACAGTACTTGAACTGGTGGTCTTCGACTGGTATGAGCAACTGTTGTACGGTAATGTTTGAAAACTGGTACAAAAGTTGTGTTATGTGGTCAGTGACGATTGGTCGAACATAATTGAATGCGTTCATGGTGGGGCTGCTATTCTCCTCGGCATGGAATTATTATAGCACCTATATGACAAAGTCAAAGGTTTTACCATCCTCTTTATTCATTCCTCATATGGCCTCTTTTTCCTCTTCTTTTTTCTTTGTAGGTCTCATGAAAAACCTTTGGACCTTCCTCTTCACGCTTAACATCACAAGTTGCTTTCGACCAGAAAACAAAACATCGTAAGAATGAGAACATTTCTATGTGCTAGTGTTTGGAAATTCTAAGGAACGGTTTCGTTGAGACTTCCCTGCCATTATGAGTGGCATGAACTGCTAAATGCTTATGTGATCATGTTGTGTTTTGACTGGACAACGTGTCTCCCGCTCATAATATAAAGTCCTCACCCAAGTTTCCATTTTTGGTTTATTCAAGTTTCCATACGGGTATAGAAAGAAAAAAAAAATATAATTTTAGTCAAATCTACTACTTTCTTATATTTGTGTAACAGAGCATGCATGTGTGTGTGTGCGTGTGTGTGTCAGGTACAAGGTTATTGGAGTCATTTTGTGTCCCTTCATTGTTTGGTGTGCAGGCTTTAGTGAAACAGATCCAAATGACCGAAGTACTTACAAACACGATTTTCCAACGGCAAATTAAACAAGAATATATATGTGCAAAATAAATTTTGTAGGGCCGTTTGATAACTATTTTAATTTTAGTTTTTAGTTTTTATTAAACAATGATGAGAAAGATGAGTAACAAAAGTGAAAATAAAAACTGAAATTAATTTCAAATTGTTTTCATTTTTGTTACTCCTCCCTCTCATCGTTTCTCTCTCAATATTATCTTCACTCTTATTTTCCTCGATACTCTAGCACAAAAAATTAAAAATAAAATGGTTATCAAACATACCTTAGTGATATTCTTTTCATTATATTTTCAAGATTTGAGTTTGATTCAAGAGTAACAAGTACTTGTTCTAGAATGACATGATTTGAGTCGTTCAGGTTTCACCAAGGCCCGCCAATGCTTGATTTTGAACAAACGAGGAACACAAGGAGTGTCATATGGTGGTAATCATCTACGGTTTTGGTGGTGGAGAAATCAACATGTGTGTGTTGTTGGTGAGTCTCCACGAGCTTGATGAAGAACACAAGAGACTTTGAATATTTAAGTGTTTGGGAGTTTGTTTTGGCCTGAGAGCTTTTCTAGTTTTCCCAAAGCTTGAGTCTTTTTTGTTTTTTTGTTTTTTGGTTTCCTTAAAGTCATTAAGCCTATATATATATATATATATATTTTTTTTTAATACAAATCATAGTTTACTTTAATTTAATCTAAATTATTGGGAAGGAGATTCAAACTCGAATGCAAAGCGGAGAGCACATCCGCTCTGGCCAACTTAGCTAAGCTCATATCTACGAAAGCCTAGTATTCTTCATAGACAAATAATTGAGTCTTTGTTGTAAGCCCCCAATTCAAATTTCTTAATTTTGGGAATTGATTTGATTTAATATGAGTGAATTGATTTATTTTATTTTTAAATAAAAAAATAAAAAAAACCAATAGAATTCCCCAGTAACCTAAGTCAGCCAAAAGATGAAATAATTTGGAGCACTCTAAAAAATAACTTTTCTATAACTCCTTTCAACTGCCATATTTCACCGAATCTAATCCAATGACATCAATGACAAAAACTAGCCGCTAACCGGTATGACTCTTCGAAAGAGACTAAGAACACTCGGCAAACTCAACTAAGTTTCTGAAATCATTGGAGAAAAAAACCACATAAAAGTTTCTGCACTTTATGGAACAAACTAAACCAAAATAAAAAAGTTAAAACAACGCCGGCAAAAGGAAACCAATTGTCATGAATTTTCTTGAGGACATGACATCGAGAGCGCCACTTAGTTACTCCATGGCCTCCATTTATGCACCAATGAGCAGTGGATCTACTATGACCAAGCCACAACATCTCAAGCAGTAACTCGCAAGATGAGGAACAACCAAAGCCAACCCAAATATAAGACAATAGATCTGTCAATATAAGAGTAGATCGATATAAGTCCACCAAAAGCCGAAGAACACCAAAAATTCAACAGAATTTGTGGGAAAACCCCCGGATCTGAAGCGCTCTCCTCTCTCCTCTCTCTCTCTCTCTCTCTCTCTCTCTCCTCTCTCCTCTCTCTCTCTCCCTCTCTCTCTCTCTCTCTCTCTCTCTCTGTTAGCAGCAAAATTTAGCTTTTAATTTAAATCAAACTTCTTGATTTGGGCGACTTAACAATCAAAGCTAAAGTATCCTTCATTCACCTTGGTTTGTGATTTGATTGAGTAAATTAATTTGATTTAACTCTCGATCTGAATAAACCACATAGGTTGGCCAATTAAGCATCATCTTCTCTTTTGGCATTTAATTGAATTGCTAGAGCTTTTTCAGATGGTGACATGTGTCACCTGCAATGCTTAGCGTTGCTTTGATTGTGTATTTTGTGTTAAAACTTAAAACCCACGACTTGTCCTAATAAGCTCTGACGAATCACACGGTGAATCCTTTGAATTGTTCATCATATAAATCATTGGATCCATCCATTATGACACCTAATGACTTGATTCAATCCAAAGAAGAAGGCGAGAAAAATGAAATAAGACCCATTTGATACATAATAAAATCTAACATAAGAAAACTAACAGCTCTCTTTATTTGCTATTACAACTTTTTATATATATAAATATAAAGGAAGAATCATAAAAAATAAAAAAATAAAAAAATAAAAAAATAAGACGTTTTGTTTTTCTGCAAGAGGAGTCTCTAGGGAACGGAAATTTTCAAATGATTGATTAATATATTTACAAAACATAAATAGAAAAATAGTTGAAAGATTCTTTTGGTTTTCTAAAAAATAAGTGTAAAAAAGAACTGGAAAGTCAATAATTAGTTGTATTATCTTAATGGTGATCAATCATTAGTGGTATTTGCTATGTAATTAAAAAAAAAAGTTTGTTATTGAATTTTATTATTATTATTATTATTATTATTATTATTATTATTGGGTATAAAGGAGGTCAGAGTAAAAGGGAAAATGTTGCATAATTGCATTGCATCATGTGAGGGTAGATACTCGTTAGTTAGTACAACTAACTTAGTGTGATACTTCTCTTCTTAATGTTAGAAGAAGTTTAAATATCTTAATCGACATGAGAGTGTTTTATTTATACATAACTTACCCTCGATCAGGAAATTCAAGATTACCTATCCACACCATTGGGGATTAAAATTCCGAATTTTTTGTAATGGGTCGCATTTTGTTTTATTTCATTTTGCAATTGAGAAATAACAAGAACAGGAAAATCAGTTTAAACCTGTGTGCCTCTCTAATGGGAAAGGAATCA